TTGCATCCAGTTGGATAATTGAGGAGCTCCACTGCCGTGCTAAGGAAGAACGCCGTAAGAACATTCGAGAGTTACCAAATTTCCTTCGATAAAATGTTCATTTTTGAGGGAAGTTAGGAAATTTTCCTTTAAATTTTCAGAATCTGCAGGTAAAATTGTGAACTAAATTATCTGAAAAATTGGGAGGAAAATATTCATATATTTACCAGGAAATTCGCTTTTTATACAAGGAAAATTGGCAACGCCTGAAGGTTCATACAGCGTTTTTCCTTAGCTTGACAGTCCAGTGCTCCACACTCTGCAGACTGAATGATAGCTCTTTCAACCATCTTCCCAGTGAGCATTAGATACTTCTGCAGAAACACAGAGTCTCACAGAGTCAGAGAGATATTTCCCCAGACAAACCAAGCAGTGGATAACAGACAGGATACTTGAAAAAATACCGCCTCAAAATGTAAATAAAAAGCTACTGATTTAATAAATTATTTCGTACAATGATAAAAATTATACACATACGATTACATATAAAACTCATTTAAATTGAGAAGCGATGTACAAGAGGATCACTACACTGATCAAGGGTTGATTTTTCTAAACAATTTTTTTTCAGGTTTTTAAAACCACATTAACTTTCCTGATAGTAAACACACAGCAGAGTGTTCGCGTTTGGTTGGACGTTTACGAAGAATTAAAAAGCCAATAATGAGAGAGTTGACCATTAAGTCAGCAACAGTAGGTAATCTCAGAGCAGAAGCTTAATAACCTACATATTCAAATTCCGGTAGAAATTTTTAAAAATGCCCTGAAAAGCTCAAGGATCTGAGATTTGAACAGATTTTGCGGAAATTAAACCTCTTCTTGGGCTCTTTGTTCAAAGTTTTCCCAAAATCTCTACAAAGATTGCACCACGGATTTTTTGTTAACAAAAATTCAATTCCTTGGCCACAGAGGTCGCAGGAAGATACATAATAATTACCGGTTTAAATCATTTTCATTACTACACTGCACTGGAGGTTAACTATATCTAATCACATAACAATTAAGAAATTAATGAGAGTAAAAAAATAAAAAAAAATGAAAAATGGAAGACGGAGAACCTCGAACAATTTTTCGAGACTAAAATACTCCGAAAATAACTGACCGATGGTTGAGAATAAACAAACATGCATTTTCGTGAACTGCATGATCGCTTATTCCCATCGAGACAGAACAACCAAGTGGGAAAATCAATATCCTTGCACTAAATAAAGTAATCAAGCATTTTGCAAATACGGTGCAATGATAAATAATTTGCGTGTCTTGTATATTCACTAAGTATGGCAAATCAACTAATTGGCTTTGTACACATAATAGACATATTAGAAATTGGTGTCGTAACATAATTGAGAAGAACGAACCCAGAAGGATTGTCTTCAGATGACTGAGAGATCATAACACCAACCTTTGGTATAAGCAGCATTGCCAGGCGTAGAAGAATTCTCAAGCTGCGGGTGATGAGGCCGTTAGCTAAGTTAGACAAACAATCGTACCAAAAATGTTTGGAATCAAAATGTCTTGCGTAGTCATTATTTAACAAGACCCAGGTTGGAGTGCTCATTTCTTCGTACAAACCTGACAGCACAAACGCAACTTTAGATTCAATATGATAAAATTTAAGTTTCACACAGTTTTTACCCACGGAGAGCTACTCTTCAGTAGGTACAAAACGCGTTTTGGATACCAAATGCCTGCATAAATAATAGAAGAAATTGAACGTAGGAAAAAAGGGGGATAAGAGGTACTGTGTTCACACTCTGGAACTAAAATTTCCTTATCACAATCTCTCACATAACAGTGAGCCTTTTACAAATGGAATGAAATAATCCTTGAGACGAAGATAAATCACAAGTTCCTTTCAGTGGGGGAATTCAGAGGTTATGCACAGTTTGTGACTGCAGGGTCTCCGGTCTATAGTAGTGTGCGTGCGCTGCAAGGGAGGGGTGAATCGGTGGTGGGAAGCAGCGGACTTGTTCGACTGAGGCACTGTCGTTTTCGCTTGATTTCAGGTATTTGTTTAATGTTGCGAATATCTGAGAGTTCAGCACCTGGAACCTGCGGATTCGGTCTACCATCCGTTTGAGGTTCTGAAACAAGAAATTAACAACATTCAAAAAACCTAACTCAGGAAACAGATGGATGCTTTAGATAATTAATAATTTTAAATGTATTTACTCCGGATCAATTTATCTTTTTTAGACAAGATCTGTCTTTTATTTTGGCAAATCCTGATTCTTGAATTGTTTTCACTACACGAAGTTGTGTATTGGAATACCTACTGAGGCCATGAATCTCAGTAGAGGAGTCATAATGGGACAATGGGTCACTCATAAATCTACCTGCAACAGGACAGATATTTTCAGATGCTATCTTAGCTTTCTGGGTAATATCCATTAAACTAGAAGCTCACATTACGCAACTTTAAACTCGATTTTTGTAGGTTGTTATCGTTAGAAAAATCTTGGAAAATTCCTGTGAACTAAACCGGGTGTCTACAGCCTTGTCGGGAAAAATTTTCCTGACTTTTCAAGGTTTCTCATGACCAAAATAATCACAATTTTCTGCTTTTCATGTCGATTACTTTGACACATGGAACTAAAAATGAACTTTTTTTGGATTGGTTAATTACACTACAAATGATAAAAACATAACTCCGAGCATTGAGCCCTGAACCTGACTGATGAGATTTTTTTTAATCGTGTCAACAACAGTGATGTTTTTTCAGTTTCCAAAATTCAAGATTTTTCAAATTTCCAATTTCTGCCATGTAATTCCTTGAATTTTTCCCCGATTTCTCTGATTTGATGAAATTTTCTGAGGATTCCTGTTTTCAAGACCTGATGACACCCTGGTAAGTGCACTCGTTCCTTCCCATAAGTAAAAGGATTAAAAATTACTGAGTAACCTCATAGGAGATACTGGACGATGATTTAAAAAAAAACCTCGAATTATAAACATGTTTTATTAAACTTGAAAATATTGAAAAGAAATAATAGCACTCAATTACGTATGTACTTTTGGGTACTTTGCCACTGCTAAATACTTCAAAAATTACAGGGTAGGGGGGTCAAAAGTATAATTTAATGGACTTACAATGCCTTTGACATTTTCATCTTTCCCGTCAACCCTCTGAACTCTTAAAATATGATAACAGAAGTCGAGGGCTTCGAATCTGCGTTGCTGTCCTAGAAGAACAATCATTGTGCAGCCGGCCCAGTGGAGACCTTCACCAAAAAGTTCCCTGAAAGACGACACGAGAATAATAAGTAAAAAGAAAGTCAACCATCAAGAGATTTAAGCACATTAATCTTCATACAAATATTATCTACTTGAATTAAACATTCTTCGAAAAGGGGTCTCGTCCTGCAAGAGCAATGGGTGAAGTAGAACACTGATTTTTGGAGGGAGGTCCTTGAAGACTTTCTTGCATCTACTTGCACTAAATTATTTGGAGTTATTATTGCAGGAACATGCTGAGGCATACAACTTGATGAGATTAAGAAAGAATGAAAAAAATTTGAACACATCCACACTTGGACACATTTAAACAGTGCAACACAGCAGCAACGCCTCTCTCATCCAAGTTTTGAAAGGAATCGAACCGTTCAACATTTTCTATGAATTTTTTACACATCAATAAACAGATGTCGGCCTCCTATGGTGTAGTGGTTGTAGCGCTTGCTCTATAATCGGGAGGTCTCGGGTTCGATTCCCGGCCAGGCGACCCCAGTTTGATGGTCTCAAACAATGGTTGCCTGGGGCTGGTTCAGTAGGGACGGAGGGGGGATGGGACTTAAAGCGTGGGATTAGCCCTGGTGGGCTATTTGAAGTAGAAAAAAAAAAAAAAAAAAAAAAAAAAAATGTGGTAGCTTACCCTCGATCACAACTCGCCACTTAGTAGCGGGCCATTGTGGAAAATTCGTAATTTGAAGTAAGCCCATTACTAAGTGGCGCGTGGTGATCAAGGGTAAGCTACCACATCTGTTTACCATTGTACCTCGATAAAAATGAAAACTATCACGTTCTTACACATCATAATCTGTACTGCACTATAATTTGAAGAAAAAAGAATGTTATACTTTTCTTTAAAAAGAATGAAAAGGGCTCAAGTTAAACGGAGACGAAGTAAGTAACATTTTGGAAAAAAAAGTTGGAAGTAGTTTTGAATTTAACGGGCCATCTTCCTTTCATAACTTCAAAACCAAGGGAGAGAATAAACTAAGAACGAATACTTACTCTACAGTAAATTCCGTCTCTCCAACAGGAATGGAATAAACAAATTGTAGAGCAGACCACAGCCTATGGAATTCAGTGCACTCATCAATATTCATGACTCCGTTGGTGGGCGGAACTCCCACCCAGATGGGATCATCAAGGAACCCACGAAGGCGTGACAAGACGATTTCAAATATCGACAAACCGCAGCACAATCTCTCGCGCGTCAAAAGGTCTCCTTCTTTGGCAATCATAGTTTGCTTGAAGAAAAATAAAAAGAAGAAAGTAATGTTAGAAACCAAAAGACCAAAAAAAAACAGCACAAACAAAAGAAAGAAAAAAAGGTCTACAAGTCAGTATGTTGGAATTTTTTAGCCAACGAGCGTAAAAATTCAGCACAAAGCTGAAAATCTCAATACAGAGGGAAAAAGCTCATACACAAGCACAATTTATACTTAAAGAGTTTCGCTGTTTGGTGCAACACTAGTAACAACCATTTAGGAAGGCAACTCCAAATGAATTTCAGCCTTGTTGGGCCAATCCTTAGTACAGCGCAGCCTCCTGAATTTCCTGCTATCAAGCTCGGAGAGGTCATGAAAACCAGACCGAGACTTGGGCAAGCGGTCGCTGGCACAAGTAAACTTGCGCCATCTAGTGAGCGATTATCCAAACAATAAGATTGTAAAAGAAGGTCTCTTGACATTATACAGAGCCACGCTTTTAAAGAGCAATCTGATGAAACTGAATTGCTCCTATAATATTAATGATCTCATTCAATAAATAGAATTGGACGTATTTCTATCAAACGGAACTATGTGCATTAAGACATGAGCCCTGAGACCCATAAGAATACACCCATAACAAGGCTCACATCATAATGCACATAGTTCCGTTTGATAGAAATACATCCAATCTATAATACAACGTTGTTTGGACGGATTAAAACTGGAATCAGCCTGAATGCATTTGATGTTGTCCAATTTTCTCACAGAACAATGAGAGTCATTCCATCCTACCTCATCGTACCTTCATTGTATCTAAAAGTAAGGTGAAGCATAATTTTCTCCTTTTGATAGATTGCCAACTTATAAATTACTCACCTTGGCGGATCCAAGTTTTTCTACATGTGCGACAATATGAAGAGAATCAAATTTGGCTTCTAGCTTCCGCAACTTAACTTCTGGTTTCTCACCCTCTGGAAAATAAAGCAAATGATTAGAAAATAGTCTTTAAAAAAATCAGAAATCACTAATTCAAACAGAGAAGCTAAATACGATAATGGACCTCTCCAAAGGCTATGGAATGAAGTACTGTGCGGCATGTTGACTCTTTTAAATTTGCGAGGAAAATAAATGACAAGATGAGGCGTCCAGAAATGTGGATTAAAAGTCCACAACAGGATTAAAGTGTATACAATTAACATTGGTTAAATGGCAAAATTACGAATGATCTGTCATTTTTATAATCTGACTTTCATTTTGTTTAGTTAAAAATATTTGTTCATGTCTCATTAAGGATTTGATTTCCAAACTTCTAATTGTGTGAATTGTATTTTGCAAAAGATTTTAAAGGGACAACGTTCCGCATTTTTTCCGAGTAATAACCTTGTTCATGTTTGGTATCATTTATAAAATTTCTTTCCATGAAAAATTTTAAAGACACTGTCTCATGAAATTGAGAAAATACACGTCTTGGCTGGAAGAAAAAAATTTCAAGATTCTGCAGAAAAATCCATTGGCTTTTTAGAGTTGGATAAAGTTCTCTAACTTTTCAAGAACCAGAAATTTCAATTTTTTGGAGGAGATCCCGGACTGAAAGGCTCATTTCGAATAATTTTCAAACATTTCAAGCTTTGAATTGAGAGAGTCTTTACCTTTACAGAACGGCCTTGGCAAAATATTCTGGAATGCAGCAGCATGGACTAAGTCGCACGTTTCTTCCTGGGAAAGTGCTTGCTCCATGAGTAGACAAAATAGGATCGTGTTGCCAAACTCACGGAAGTTGTGAAACAGTTCCGTCCTGGCATCTGGATACTGAACGATATCGTTTAATTGAGCGTGATAATAACCGAGGACCCCTGGAAAAAAGAAGAGAAATCATCAATTAATTTTCACTCACCATGACATGCCCATGACTTACTGACCACAGCTCATGATCGCTTTTTAGAACCAAAATCAAGGACTTTTCCAGGAATTTTAATGAGTAAAATCAAGGAGTGTTAAGGATTTTTCAAGGATGTACAAACATAATTTTAAAAGCTTCAAAGAATACTTTAAATCAAGAAGATTACTTGTCTCTTGCTCACTGCTACATATTCATAAAAAAGTAAATAAGTGACACTTGGATGGCACTATTCAACATTTCAGAGATTGCCATGTAACAATTAAACAAAAAGAAACTGATCTTCCAAACAATTGTAAACAAAGAACAAAAAAATTATTCTTTCGATTCGCTGCCTGGTGAACTATTGTATTTAGTTTAGGAATTTACTTTCCAAACTTGCAGATGCATCCATCATTTTGTAAGAAAAATTTTTAGGAGAAAAAACACGACTTAAGTGCTTCAAATCATATCTCTTCCTGCCGAGCAAAGCAAAAACATTATATCTTATTCCATATTTTGCACTCTTCTTCCTTCTACTATGTTCAATTCGGAGGAAAATCTGATCCTCAGTATGTGTCATTTCTTCAATTCGTAATTTCAATGATAAGCCAAAGCTGTTCTGAAAATCTGAGTTTTATGTGTCCAAGATTTGTTTGGAGACCCGCACAAGATAAATGATCAATAAAATTTTAAACTCACTTGCTTGTAAAACGTGCAAGTGACGTCATATCGTCGTATCGCAAACTTATACGTGTAAGTGGGTTTAAAAAAAATTTGTATTGAATATCGACGGTGAAACTACCAAACCACGTATCTCGGTTTGCGACGTCGCAGACTTCCCGTCATACTTTATTTTTTAAATGAAAAACTACTTAACATCCAGTCTTGAAAATTTCTGTGATTTTTCCTCTTTGTGCGGAGAAAATTCCGTGAAAATTTCAAGGAGTGATATTGATTTGGTCTACTTCAAAAAAATAAAATGTGAGCGTACATTTTTAAACACCGCAAACGAGATACGTGGTTTGGTAGTTTCACCGTCGATATGTGTCTGTTAGCCTTCGTTTAATGATACATTTTCTTGGAAAAAAAGTGAAAATCTAGAATTGAGCAACAGCGTGTTTTCTTGGAAAAAAAGTGAAAATCTAGAATTGAGCAACAGCGTGTTTCTTTCCATGGTAGATTTTCTGGCTCACCCTCTACTTTTGTCACCATAGGAGTAAAAACAAACTTTAAAAAAAAAAAAAAAGTAACGGCAGATTAGAAAAGAAAGAAGGTAACTTGAACAAACCTGGAGATCCATAATCGTATCGTGGAAGCTTGCATGTTTTAGGCATTGCTTCCATCAGGGTCTTAGTGAACTGAAGGAGGTTTCCTTGGATGAGTAATTTGACGATTTTGAGGAGCTCTTCCATTACTACTGCGATGCCTTGATAACCTAATAATCTGCACATATTGCGCATGTGGCAAGGACCGACAAAACCTACAACAGAAGCGAATATGAGTTGGAGTGCAAGGATGAAAATGACATGAAAATATAAATTAAAACTCACAAACAGGCAATTAAAGTAAAAAGATAAAGACATTTTGGTCTTAATTTAATGCATTTATAGTAAAATGCTACATTGTGTTTTATTCGCTTTTATTCTTGGATTTTTCAAGCCTAACTATGTCGTTTTTTTCAGTTTTAGAAAAAAAAAGTCAGATCTGCAGGAAAAAAATCTCCATGCCCACAGAGGTCAAGTTAGGGACTTTTCCGCTGGCAAATTTGTCTTAATATTTTACAAATGCATGGAGGAAGATAATGTGGATATTTCAGCAAAAGTTAGACCCTCAAAATCTAGAAAATTGAAGGAGGCATTAATCCTGTATTGCCAAAGCAATAATTGTTACATTCCAGAAAAACATCCTTTAAGTGTTTGCAATAAGTTAAGGAAAATATTCTCCCGGAAGACAAGGTCCCATTTCACAGATCTTATCGCATTTATTGTTAATTTTTTTTTTAATAAAAATCCCAGCAGGATTGCCACAGAATTAAGAAAATTAAATTCCCTGATATTTCCCTGACACATTTGGTAAAGTTCCCCGACTATTAAGGATACGCGAGATGGATGTAAAGCTGTAACTCGAAATAGTTTTCATGCAAAATTTGTTGTTCGATACCTCAAATCCATTGTAGAGAGCAAATAAAGGTGGTTCAACAATGTTTCCTTGACACTTCTGTCCTTTTCCCAGACATTCCCAGGTTTTCCCTAGCTTTGGCACATTGGCAGAAAACCATAAGCTTTTCCAAAGCAAAGTAAATGAAACATGGCTGCACAAAGTTTCCACAAATTCAGCAACTTACATACCAGAAAACGTATGTAAAATTTTTTAGCACTAAAGAATATCGATTAAGCTCTTATTACACTGTCATTGCTAACCCAAAATTGAAGGATTGTAAAAAGTGGTTCTTCCGCCCAAGTATTTTTCTTTTTATTGCAAAAAGAACTGGTCTGGGGCCAAATGGGGCCTTTGCAGGCACCTATACACGAAGGCCAAAATTAATTAGTGATGGTTATTTGGAAAAAGGTGACTGTCTCCTTACCTGTATACTGACTATAAATTGTAGTGTACGCAAGATTCAATTGTTTGCTCCCCCAGAGATAAGCGTGGCCCATTTGTGGAGGCTTGTCTCTATGCACAGGGTTCGTAAACGTGATTCCACGGCATTTCACAAACCTGTAGACATTTCAATTTTAAGTGAATGAAATAAAATAAAAGCACAAAACAAGCCACTATTCTGAACTGGAATGAGAAGGCTAAGGAGGATAAGTTTCTAATTTTAGACAGTATGCGGAGCAATTGAACATGATTTGAAATCAAAAAGCGCTCCTCAATATTTCTCAAGAGGAGGGGCATCCCTGTATTATGTGCTGTATTATTTGCTGATTTTTGGAGCCTTCACTCCTTTTCAACACTTTAACCCTCTTTGACAGACCCGCCTAACACACCGCAATTATGAAATTTTTCAGTGCTGACCTGATGCAAACATTTTAAAAAATTGTGAAAAATTAACAGAGAAGATAGGGCTGGGTTGCTAGAAAATACAGCAAAGTTAAGTATTCTGATATATGAACATTCAAGAGTTGCCAAATTTCCTTGGTTGAAACATGAATTTTTGAGAAAAATGCATATCGTTTCTTGAAATTTATAAGATACCCAGTTTGGATTAAATTGCAAACAAAATTGTCCGAAAAAATTAAAAGAAGATGATCACAAGTATCCCAGTAAATTTTTTACTTATTGATAGATTTATGGCAGCATCTGATGCAGTTAATAGCATAACAGCAGCATAAAAATTTTCTCTTATATTTTTCTTTTCTTTCTTTCTTTTTTTTTCTTTTTCTTTAAAGCACTGACTGATCAAAATCCCTAGGTCTAAAATATATTCGAGCTAAAAGGCAAAATTTCTGATTTTTGTCAAACGAGCATATAATAACATTAGAAGCTAATGACATTTTTTAGCTGAAGAAATGAAATTCCATGTTCAGCAGGAATTCCCTGCCTTTTCTGGGTTTTCAGAGACTTTTTGTCTCGACTTGTCACCCTCTAGATCAGAGGCTTACTTACGGAAAACTTAACACATACCTGTTAGTTGCAGCATTGTAGCAATAATTTGGTAGAAAATCGTAATTAAGCTCCCAAAAAACGTGTAAGGTAATCCTGCCATAGGGAGCTAAAACGTTGTGATTAGCCTCTCGGAACATGGCATCGTATTCATCAAGCGTCAAATGCTTGCTCAAAAGTTTATGACACAGTCTGTTCACTTGTAGCAAACCATCCAATTCCTGCAATAAGCAAATGTAGTAAAATTACAAGATGTGGTAAATATTGAAAAAAAAAAAATACTTCTAGCGATTAGAAATTAGTACTTTACAGGACTGTTCCTTCATCAAAAATTTAATGTGGAATAAAATGAACACACTATTTTCAAACTCAACTCGGATATGAAAAATTCGAGAGCACATTTACAACCACGGTTAACTAAAAATCAAAGTCAGATAAGGTCAATTCAAAATTAGGGCTGAATTTTCGAACTGGTGAATGATTAAAACTTGATAGCGACTCAAATCGAAGGATAACTGTCTAATTTTGCTACAAATTTTGTAAACATCAGCAGCCAGGACTTAACTTACGAGATTTAATATTCTATCCTGGGATCTGGGAGGAAAATTGCTCAAAACTTAACACCAATTAACTTAGAATGTCACATTTTGGTTAATGCATTATTCAGAGCTAACATTCCTGTCTTTTTTTCATGTTTCAGGTACGTGACGTCAATTTTTGGGAATGGAAATCAATTTACTCTTGACGTGCATGTAAGATAAACAATTTTATTATTGCTTCATCAAATGAACGTTTTTATGTGGAGGTAGAGTATGCCTTGTCCACACGGGCTTGATTCTCGAAACTTTGGGCGAACTTGCTCCAGGAACTCCCAGGAACATTTAAACTCTACAGCTATAACTTGTTCCTGGAAACACTGATTTGTGGAAGTAATTTGCCCTTTTGCTTGTGTGGATAGGGCCGTACTTTAGTAAGCAGAGTATACTGCCAAGTTAGGGAAAACCGCTGCATGAACCTTTGAATGTTGCCAAATTCCCAGGCAGTAAACATTTATTTTTTTTAGGAAAGTTATGGATATTTTTCTCCCTCGGGGGCAGAAAGAGGGCTGAAAGCTGGAAGTTGTTAAAAGGCCTGAGAAGGGATATGAAGCGTGACATTTTATCTCCAATGTCGATCCGCCAGTTAGAGGACCATTTTAGTCAATTATTGACGAAATGGCGACCAGAGTTTCAGAAGGCACGCAGATAAACACCAATGAGGCCTCCACTTTGTCAGTCCAGCTCTCTGATGTGGTTAAAGCCGTCAGGGAGTTGAAGAGGCGAAAGCTTATGGACCCAGAGATATTCCCTCAGAATTAATTAAATGAGGGTCCAACAGACTATTCCATTGCTTAAGGGACTTAATGGATAAATGTGCCAGGGGTGATGAAGTCCCAAAGGAGTGGAAAGAATATTGGATTACAGCTACCCACATATAAGGAGAAAAGGATGATCTCAAAAATTATTGTGGATTGTCGGTGACCGGAACGACCAGATGGCAAGATATTTAAAGCTAAAATTGAACAGGAATGCATGCATCACGAGGCTGAAGTGCAAGCGGGTTTCAGAGCTAGTAGATCAACCATCAACCATTTATTTTGTATCACCCAGGTTATTGAGAAGAAGATAGCGATTGGTCAAGAATTGCACTTGATAGTGCCTATAGTAAAATTCTGGATTGGGTAAAAAACCTAACTCAAGGTTTTAGGAAAAATACCAAATCAAATCTCTGAAATCAATTGTTTCTCAAGGATTGCAATATCTTCCAAGAATTGTTGAACTTCCGTGCATTCTGCATGTATTGATTCAAGTAACAGACTGATATAAACACGAATGAATTCATTCCGATTCGAGATTGGAAAATTATGTTCTTGCCACCTGTCTTGGACACATTTCCCAATTCTTTGATTGAAAGTGTCGAATTTTTGTCGAAAAGGGCAGATAGTACATCAAGTAAATTAATACACATCGACAGCTGTTGATTAAGGCTTTCCCCCTCATTTCACAGAAAATAAAAACTTTGAAAACTTACAGCAACACCTGTTATGTCTCCCCCTTCAAATTTACAAATGGCAAGCTCAAGAGATTTCTGCATGTCAGCGTTGATGCGTTGTGTAATTAGTTTGTTGAGGTCGATTGATCTACCCAACAATTGCACATGTCGCTGCTTCAACAGTGTTTCATACCGGTTTGCGCGCGGATATGCCAGCAAATAAGTTCCCATGGCCACACACTCAACACGAAAACGTTTATCTAAGAAAATACTGAAAGAGAGATAGACACATTCAACATTAGAAGAAAGATCCAAGAATATTGTTTACATACAATTCTTATGTTTTACAAAACAAACACACCTTCTAATTTTTTTCTTCTCATTAGAGATTAGAATTTTTCAGGCACTCTGATTTAAAAAAAAAAAAAGAAACAAATAAAACATTTGTGACTTAATACGTACAACAGTCAAAATTATTTTTCAAAAATACCACTTGAGTGATGATACATTGTGATTTAATAGCTAATTATCATGTTAAAAAATCAGTGAATAAGAAATAAAAAAATTACTGAAAAGACAGAGAAAATTAATTTCATTTTGTAATTAAAACTCGCTGGTTTAAGCAGGTTTGAATTTTACAGGTAGAAGAATATTGAACTTAAAAAAGTTCTCAACAACAAATTAATTATGTATATGTTGTCAATACATAGCCAATGAATCACCGAACGTCACAGAAGGTTACTTTTACAGGAGGCTTCACCAAAAAAATGCATTCTGTAAAGAGGAAAAAAAGAAAGAAAATGCGAAAGTAGGGAAATAAAATAAAAATTAACAGGTTAATAAACAAATAATACCTAGCTGCGAGTTGCTTATAATGAGCAAATATCTGCTCACTAAGTTTGTAAACGAACTGATCGAAGCACAGATTGACTTCTGCCTCAACTTCATCATATAAAAATTGTTTGCGGAAGACAGTCAGAGCATAGTGAGCACTGTCATTGTAGAGATCTAACGGGTATAAGACAAACCTGAAAAGAAGAGATACAGAAATTAATTCATGAAGCAATGAATTATAATTTTGAATTGACCTTAATTCCAAAGAAGTTCTTGCAAACATAAAAAACAGGGTTCTTTAACTGAAGCCCTAGCAGATTTAACTTTAAATTTAAGTTATCACAAACACTTTTTTTTACATTTTATGAAGTATTTTGTTACAAATTTTATAGATAGAACAATCACATCAGTGGTTTCAGAAGAGTGGATGAATATGAAAAGAAATCAACTACAGAAAGAAGCGTTTTCTACTTACTCCATCATTGAAGGCTCTTTTGTACGTAGAATCTGATCGGTCAAAATCCACGGCATTGACATTTCAATTGGAAACTGTGAAGAAAGAAAGTAATAAGTTATTTTTCAGATTTTGAGAAGAATCACTCAAATGGTGCATGGATAGAAATTGTGTTGTACGTCAAAGGAAACCAGTATTGGATCACGCTCCGGATAAAAATGTCCTTCATTCATTCTGCATGGAGTCTGATTTCAAGACTTGAGCCCAATTTTGCTTACTCCATAAAAACATCAACCATATATTCAAAATTTAAACAATGAAAAAATTGAAATTCTTCATCATTCAAATGACAAAGCCAGCACAGATGTTTTCGGGATAGATAAAACACTTGCTGAGGCTTAAGACCAGCATTTTTATCTAGGACGAGCTTTAACTTCCCTTTAGATCGATTTCAGTTGTTGCTAAAACTGCATTGAGTAACGATAAAGCCCGAAGAAAAAAGAACATTTGATGACAAAGGTGCATTTCATATTGTTCAAAATGAAAAAAAAGTTACGTTGTAAAGAACCTTCCTTAGAGTTCTTGAATGAAAACCTATTATCATGACCACTTTTACGGAAACTTTTTCAGCATTCAGCAATCAATTATCACATGAAACTCGTCTAAAAATTTTGGATGCACAGTAGTCCAGAAAATTTAAATTCATTTTACGTTAAAGCATATGGTACCGATGATTTAACAGACAAATAAAAACTCATTTCACAAGAGTCTTTCAAAATTTTCTGGGATTTAATGTAGGTTCAGCACTAATTCCTGTTTCCAGGAATTCTGGACAGCATGATGCAAAAAAATAGAAATGCGCAAGAATAATATTCACCTGTATGCGTTTTTCCATTGTGATGAGATCGCTGCACTCTTCATTGTGTTGATGTCGCACTGTGCATTTCTGAAATACGAAGACAAAATGTAAATACATCAAAAAGAAGTTGAGATTGAAATTTGTCGAAGCCGTGCAAAAACTGAGTTTCTATCCTGGCTATTTCGGAACATAATTAGCTTGTTACTTTAATGACGCTCTTTTGGTTTAAATAAAAAAAATCATGCAACAGGTATTTGCGAGCAGATGACCGAAAGATGAATAGAAAGTTACTTAGATTAATTTTATGGCTCATTTTAAATGATGATGTAAGTTTTCTATATTTACCTGAATACGTCGCCCCATGGTCATTTCAAGGTAAAATTCACGATACCAAAGCTGAGATAAATCACAGCATTGTTGTAAGGACTCTGAAATAAAGCAAAAAGTAGTTCTGTAGAGAAAAATTGCATTAAAGCTGGTATCGTACATCAACTCACTTTATAGGATCCGTTGTGCACTAAAAAGAGGTTAGGATTAAAACGAAGAAGACTTCAAGTTGGTCAGTTGGTTATACAATCATTCAGTATGTTCCCTAGAAAACTGCTCATCTCAGAAAAAATTGAAGTTTCTGTCGAATGCAGGAAAGTAATTTTGAAGATTACTTGCGTCTTTTTTTTACTTCATACTTTTATTTTGAAAAGATAAGACACAAATTTCGAATATTTGGAAAATGACCAACTGTAAGGTTTACAAAAATTCATTTAGCACATTGAAAGAAAATTTTCAAATTTTTGGCGATTAAACTCTTTTCAGGAACTGCATGACGTTCATCAGAAACATTTTTCATTTGTGAAAATTTTCTGCTAAATTCCGTTGGTACCGTTTTCTGGATTTTTTTCTTTCAATTTGGAGTTTGGCATGCTCATGGTGGCCTGAATAAGCTTCAAAAAAGGTGCTCTCACCACTAAAACTAAGAAGATAATTCCAATTGTACGATGTTTTGTGGAATTGGTCTATTTGCATCAGATACTGGCCATCGATATCTTTCCTCAAAGTTCTTTTCCCTCCTGATTTATCTGCTATCAAGGACTCCAACATCGTACGCACCATGTAAAGCTGGGTTGAGGAAGGGCCTGAGAGAAAGAATACAATTTTTAACGATTCCATAAAATGGAAACAAAAATATCAGTTCAATAATTAACTAGGAATTTTTCTGAAGCTCTTTGACTGCTCTGAGTAAAAAGTTGTTACAGTTTACAAAAGAAAACAGGGAGTTTAATGCTCACTATTAAAAATCACGCTCTGATTATTACTGAAGTACTAAAAAAAAAAAAAAATTTTGGTTGTTTCATTAAAATTTCTCCATTCCCTGCGACTTTATGTGTGTTTCGACTTGAAGCTATTTCCATTTTCGGTGCAACATGGTAGGAAGTCACACACCATTGGGCCGTCATCACCGGTTGGAAGTATATACAACTCCATTAACATAGAATCTTTCAAGATTCTAGATTTTAACAGATGTGTAACAAATAATTTTAAGAGATTTCTGCCTTTAGATGATAGCTATTAAAGTATTCTAGTTATATTTCATATTCATATAGTTAACTATGTAATGGCAAAAATTTAATACATTTCTGATTTTGTTCATCTTATTTAAGTGGTACATAATTGAGTTACATACCGACGTTCCTTCGAGGAACTTTGATACCAAAGCCAGAATCAGGATCTTTCTTTCCTTTCAGTGCAGGATCTGCTGATGGCTCAACCCCTCGCTGCCAATCAGCACATGTTTCTCGAACAGAGACCAAAATACTGCAATGTAACAATCAAAAGAAAATTAAGCAAGGTCAACCTCATAATGAGAAAACAACTTGAAACGGGACTAAGGGCGCAAATAATAAACATAAAATAAAATAAAAAACCCAGGACGTTATTTTATTTTATGTTTATTATTTGCGGCTTTAGTCCTGTTTTAAGTTGTTTCTTTAAAAATGTTTCGGGCCGATTAAGTTGTTTTTTCTACCTCATAATAAGGCCAGATCATAGTTAAATTGAAAAACTATAATTCTGTCTAAATGCATTAAAATTAAATCGCACGAATTTTCTTCAGGGAAGAGCGAAGGTAATTGTTTTCTTTTGAATGATTCATTCTGAAATGAAACCTTTCATTTGTGATCTAAAAAAATCAAATCGTTTAGCTTAACACGGCCACAATTCAACTGAGAAAATATATACAAAAAGTAAACAAAAAACTGATGAGAGCTAGGAGCTTTCAATTATTTGAAGATTTTTTTGGTGCATGTAACAAAATCTATTATATATAGACTGATCACAAAGATCACAATTTGTTTTTGGCGTCACGCCTCTTTGAATTGAAAATAATTTGATGTTATGGCCTGCAGAAAGAATTTCAAAGTTCTGTAACAGAATTCCTTGCCATTTCCACGTTTCACCAGACTTTTCAAGAACTTGTCACCCTGAAAAAATGCTTCAAAGAAAGGAACTGAAGAAATTTAAAAGAAAAAAAAGGATAGATAATGTACCTTCTGATTAGGTCCCGTTTGTTCTTTATAGCTTTTCTGAGAGGCTCTCTGAGAATTACTTGCACAAAGTCCTGGAGTTCAGCATAAATATTGCGTCTGATGGCTTCGGTAAAAAAGGTTTCCATACGAGACATTAAAACTTGCAAGCCTTTGATCATCGCAATCACCTCAATTAGCGCAAATTTTTCCTCTTCTGTGTAGTTGTAGCGTGTTGCCTGGACAAAGGAAAGTAAAGATTAGAAACAACGAGGAGAAATTTACGAAAATTTGAGGAAATGTTTGAACAAAACTAGAATCTGAAGTGCTGTCTGCATTTCAAAAGACATTACACTAAAGAGACAACAGGACGAATCGAGCATTTTGAAAAATACACATTATCTGCAGTGCCACCAAATGTGGAAATTCTCTCACATCCTACATAGGGTGTCCCAAAACAACTGAGACCAAGTCTGTAATTCGGAAAGTATGATAGATATCGATATGCGGTTTGTGAGAGGTTGTAGTCCATACTATTAGCTATCAAATCTCCAAATTTGAGCTTATTCGGATGAAAACTCACCAAGTTATAACATTTTTTCGGGGACGAGCTGAGCAGAACCCTCCACTATTTTCGAGTAATATTTTTCATTTCGTGAACTGTTCGTGAGTGGCGCTGCAGATCGCGACGCTGTGGATCAGGTGGAGGGATGAAGTGGTCACTGTTCTGGATGCAGGTATTATCCTGTTAACATGTGTTTTCATCGTAATCGTACGCGGGAAAGCTCAGTGCAGCCGAAACCGTCAAGCGTGACCGAGTGTTTTCTCGCGAAGCGCAATGAGTTGGCCCGCTGAGTTGAAACAAGAACAACGTTATGCCATTCGCTATTGCGTTCGCCGTGGCCTTTCTGACTTCGATACTTTAAATGAGATGACAGTTGCTTATGGACTAAATCGACTTGGGAAAAGTACCATTCTTCGTTGGCATAAATGATTTTCCGAGGGTCGAGAGTCGGCAGCTTGTTTCAACTCAGCGGGCCAACTCATTGCGCTTCGCGAGAAAACACTCAGTCACGCTTGACGGTTTCGGCTGCACTGAGCTTTCCCGCGTACGATTGCGATGAAAACACATGTTAACAGGATAAAACCTGCATTCAGAACAGTGACCACTTCATCCCTCCACCTGATCCACAGCGTCGCGATCTGCAGCGCCACTCACAAACAGTTCGCGAAATGAAAAATATTACTCGAAAATAGTGGAAGGTTCTGTTCAACTCGTCCCCGAAAAAATGTTATAACTTGGTGAGTTTTCATCTGAATAAGCTCAAATTTGGAGATTTGATAGCTAATAGTATGGACTACAACCTCTCACAAACCGCATATCGATATCTATCATACTTTCCGAATTACAGACTTGGTCTCAGTTGTTTTGGGACACCCTATGTAGTATCTTCTAGAAAGTTTTTTGACTTTTTCTCGAAATGCTGAGCTCCTTGTCTCTGTTCAAATTTCAAAAAGCTTTCATTTAATTTTTTCAGTTAGCGGGTAAGTTAAATGAATGAATTAAAAACAATGCTAAGACCTAGAGAGGACTTTCCAAGAATGGTGCCACACTTACTCTTTCATATTCTTCAGCTTCTTGTGGGCATTCTTTATTTTGATGATGATCCGTTGGATGTAACAATTTCCATGAGTAAAGTTCTGTGACGACGCTACTCCATTCCGACAGCAATTGTAAACCACGCAAGGCTAAATCTGCTGTTTCCTTGTTTTCCTGATCTGACCTCATTTCTTTGAATGTAGTGTTAACCTGAAAATTATCAAAAGAAGAAAAAATGGATCAGTTATTTTTAGATGAAAACTTGCAAAGAACGAAAAAAGATAGAATGCTTGATATACTGGATTTCAATGGAAATTCATTCCCCTTTGAGAATGCTCTACGTTACAAACTTATTACAATACTTCTCGCTTTATTTGCAGGATACTGTTCATTCACACTTCTCATTTCTGAAACACAGGTATAAAAATATGATAAAAAATGTAGGAGGAATTTGAAAAAGAGAAAGAGGAGGTACCTCGTTACTATAGATAGCAAGCTCACTGATGTACTTGACATGATCTTCTCGTATTTGCGGCAAGTGCACCATCAAATCAGCTTGGGGACTGATCGTAACAGAGCTCGATAAAGGCCATTTCCCAGGGTCAAAATGCTTTGAGCGCTTGATATAGTTGAATGGCGCTATTTGCATGTCACCGAAGAGAGGGACAACCTCTAGATTCTGAAAAAGGAAAAAGAGAAAACATCAGACACAGAAAGTTGATTTAGACGGTGATTTAAAAAAAAATAAGATTAGAATGTTAAAGATTCATAAAAAATATTCACGATGAATGAAGTTCGTGAAGGAGACAAAAACCAAAATGTAAGTAGGTAGTAAAAGTTTGATTTTTCAGATATGACAGTTTACTTGTTTTTTTCCTCCTGCACCCTTGCCATTTCCCCGTGAGAAAATTGTTAAATCCTTACAATTTGATAGATTTTAATCCATCAGATTTTTGTGCAGTTCTGTGGCAGGTTGTCACATAGAATTATCGAATTTTTAATTTCATTTTCTTCATTTCATTTTTACAATCTTCACAAGATTCGTCCTTTCGTAATTATTACAAAAAACAAAAATAGAAATTTTAGAAAAAACTAGATAATAGGACCAAAGATCCAAAATTAATTCATGCCATACAGGGTTCAACTATCATACCGAAAGAACTGGAAGTAATACGAAAAACACTGGAGCTAAAAACAATTTGGAATTATTGACTGCTTTATCAAAAAGTGTACCAAGCCTAGTGTAGAAAATTAGACTGTGATGAAATTAGACAAAATAGTACCTTGAAAATTCTGTCGATTTTACTGAGATTTAGTTTCTTCTTTTGGTCGAGTTTGTTGATATTGCAGAGCTCATTGTCCATCAAAAACAAACCAAAGCCCATAACCTGGAAACCAAGACAAAACGATGTTTTTCCAGAAAGTATTTTCTTGTAATTTTGACCGAATTTGAGAGAAGGGACCTTCTTTTCCCTGAGAAAATATTCCTTAACTTTTTGCAAATGCAAGGAGGAAGGAAATCTGGACATTTTGACACAAGTTTGACCCTAAAATCTTAAGAATTGAAGGAGATATTAGCCCTGAAGTTCCATAGAAAGTTCTGGGGCTGTAGAAAAACGTGGTTTGGACGTTCGAAAAAAGTTAAGGGAAAATTTTCTCCCAGAGGACAAGGTCTCTTTCCACAGATCTGATCACAAATGAGGACTTGGATGATTCTGACTCAAACTTAATTTTTATCAAAGATGGAATATTGTGAAACCTGAGAAAAGAATACTGACTTCGAACAGTCTTGCTATGAAGTCAAGAACAGCGCTGAAGAAGGACTGACAATTAGACATGAGCAAAAAGACAGAATATTATCAACAGTTTACGAATCGCCTGAACTTCAGTAACATTTCTTGAATTTAAAAGTTTAATTTAACATGTGAGAGCGTTTATGGCAGCGAAAATTTTTAAAAAACACTTTTTTAAGCGCTAGTGTTAAAATCTCAATTTTGAGATCTTCAGAGTCTTTAATGCACATAAAGTAGAACGACAGTCAATTTGTAATGAAAGATCATGATTCATGCCGCTTCAAGATTTGAAAATGAAGTATTCTTCAAGCACTTTTTGAAGAATTTGCAAGCACTCTGAAAGGCCTTTTGAATTTCTTTCCCAAAACACAATTATTCTCCTGTAATAAGAGCCTGGGTCCTCTATTTACGGTTCTCTTTTAAGAAAGACAGCAATATTGTTTATAAAAAATATGTTTTTCCACAATTTGCACACTGTAAAAATGATTCTTCATTTCTGTAAATCAATTGCTAACAATTATCAGTAGAGAGTAGAATTCAACCACTTTCAAGGTCTCATAAAAAAATGTCAAAACCAAGCATTTTCTAAGGTTGAACAAATCATGAAGATAACATGACATGATACTCACCTTAACCAGCATGTGCTTTTCAGTGGGTGTCAGGTACATTTTTGTTTCAAACATGTGCACACACAGATTGACAACATCGGACAGAAGCTCTTCATAACCGATTATTTTTTCCAAATTCTCTTTCACTGTGTCTCGAATTTTGTTCTGCGTTGCAAGAAACATAGATAAATTCTGTGACTCCTGCAGGGTATGTGAATCTGCCATTACTTTCAAGAACTGGGCGGCACTGAAAAAAGAAGGAATGGTTAAGGAACTTGTCAAAATATTTTAAAGCTACGGTTGAGGTTTGACATCAACAAGAAGGAAGGGAGAAAGCTAATCTTCGTCAAGGACAAAGGACTTGACTCTCTACAATGTGACACAAGATTGCCACCGAGTTTAGAAAAGGAATTTTCTTCACACATTTGGATAAAATTCCTCGACAATTGAAGATATGCCAGATGATTCAAGAGACATAATAAACGTTAATTAAAACATAAAAAACTTTACTTTTAATTTTTGATCAGCTCTTGCAGAGACTTTTGCGATATTACTTCTGTTCATGCATTTTTTAAAAATAATCTTCAATCAGATACACACGAGAAAACTTCAAAATGGAAGAATCTTATAATACTTTACAGACATAAACTCACCGGCGATAGGTAGAGTAATCATTTTTCACACTTGATTTCATGTTTTTCAGTTCATCTAGCACCGCAAACATATTGATAAATTTTCCTAAGGTGAGCAAGTAGGCTTCTGACACAAAATCCTTCCTCTTTTCAGCATGGCACAGCCTTTTTACTTCTGCGCAAAATCTTTCGATGGCTTTCCGCTGCGAAAGAAATAATTGAAGTTAGAGATTAATAATCACTCTAAATTGATCTGATTATTACTTGACAGTAAAAGTTAAGTGATTAAATTTGCACAAAACTTAGGAAACCAAACTTTCACAAGTGTCTTTTATGGTCAGTATGCGTTTCAGCAACTACCCTCCCTGGCCGCCATCAACGTTTGACAGTCAACTGATGATAGTGACCACAGAAGCTGCTGAAATGCGTACTGAACATAAAAACATGATTCAAAGTAAGGCTTTTCTAATTTTTATACACAGTTTGATAGAAGTAAATGAATTGAAGAGTAATCGAAGTGAAATATGAAGAAAAAGAGTGATCAAGTGAAATTCAAATTCATTATCAGGATTTGTTAATTCCAAGTTTCGAGAAAATTAAAGCACAGACAGGGCACTCATCAGTCGCAGGGCCTCAGAATCTTCACCAATGTTTCATCTATTATGATCGAAGCAAATGTATGTAATTCATTGAAACTTCTACTGAATATTCTTCATGATCTTACAATCTTCTAAATAAAAATTTCTGAAAATTCACTCAGTAGTTTCCTTTCTAAAATATAAATTAGCAGTGAAGACTCTGAAAAGCTGCAACCATGAAGTGCGCATTTTCCTCAGGGCAATGGTTCAGAAAAGTAATTATAATTTAGCAAGTGAGAATTCATCATCATGAAATCAACTGAGGTCTAAACCTTAAGCCTATCCTTGAAAAAATGGAATTTTCCAATGAATATTAGCAAAAATAAGATGGAAGTGCAGCAAACGCCAAAACTGAATGAAAGGCAAAAAGTCTTAAGAAAATACTATTCACCTGAAAGTACATGAAATTACGCAGCTTGTTCACTTCAGGAGCCAACACTTCAACCGTCTTCTCGTAGATTTCCACCCGGTTCGGCTGCTCGTTAGACTTCGGTTGCGGGATGGCTCGAGAGCAACATCGCCACGTGTACAGCATGACCGCATGTTCCAAGCCATCTTCCAAAAGTTCATTCTAGAGCATTACACATAGATATATCACACATTGCCAGATTGCTAGATTGACAACTTTAAATTCACAACGTGACAGAGCTCTGCTTTTTTTGAACGACCGAATCCAGTGTCGATTAAGCTTCAATAAAAAAACCTATTGACTGTTTTCAGGGCACATACTTTAAAACTTCAAAAATGGTCGATCTGAAATGGACTTCTTGGATGGATTGACTTCAGGGTTCAAGTGACCTTTCATCAAAGAAATACATATATTTCTGATTCTATTCTAAAATACATACCTCTACCAATTTTTAAAATTTTTGCCCTTGAAAAACTTGCATGGAACTGTCTTGCAATTATTTTAGAACAACCAGTGCTTAAATAATGACTTTCAAAATATTATAATGAATTAATACACGAAACATCCGTTAAATAGTATCATAATAAAGTGCAAAGCATTGCTGCAAAAAAATGTCATGTCTTGCTTGCATCCATTCAATTAGATAGATTAACAGGGGTCAAGCGGCAGGAATACAAAGCTTACCAAACTGGCGTGAACGGTGGCTTCTTCGATGTACTTTGCTATCCCGGTGACGAAGCCATTCCGGTCTTCGAAGTTAGTATCAAAGTTAGCTTGATAAATGACAGAGCATGGCTGAGCTTCGATGCATGGTTGTTCATCGGGTAACGTAAGTTCATCTAGGGCGTCAACGTTGGATAAGGCATCAGTCAGTGTTACCTTATCAGCCGCCATTTTCAGAATTTGATTTCTCTGTGCAAGAAACCAAAAAAGACATAAAAATGTGACTTGTCAAATAAGCATTGCGGTACTTGAATTTAGAGAGTTGAATGGTTTTGAAATATACCCACTCTAGGTAAACAATTAAAAACTGAGAGTTCATTCCAAACCAAAAATAAATATTCTTCAGTGTAACAAAATTTAATACAAGAGGAGCTTGATGGTGGAGGGTAGATACAATTGATCAAATAACTTCATGCCTTTAAGAAATAGAATAAGTTTGTGTAAAACTATCAGGAGTAATACTGCTAACTTGAGGTAGAGGTGTCATCAGCTAAATTGGCACTTAATTACATTTTGTTTGCAAGCAACTATAATGCAGCTGTCCATTAGGGATCGAGGATTGACTATGCTCACGATCGGGCTACAGTCAATCCCTGATCGCTCTTTAATGATTGCATCTCAATTGCTTGCATGTGGAATATAAACAAGTGCCAACTTAGCTGACAACACCTCTAGTTCGTCAACTATTAACGAAATCCGTGAATAGCTGTCCTGCGCGTTGATGAAATTTGTATTTTTATTAGCCAATCAGAACCTGGTGGCCTGTTGATGGGTTTCACTCTCTCAACCAAAATCGCCGACAGGTTTGATAACGTGGTCCGTAGCACAGTTAAGTACAAAACAGTAAACTGTTGACCAAAATTGATTTATACTTAATTACAGGCGATTTGGCAGAAAAGGCTAGGCCATGTCCATTTAATCACAACCAGAGATTGGTTTTGATGATGCAGTTCGTAAACTGTTTACGGCTTTTGTCAACAGTTGACGAACAAAAATTTCCTTTTTGAGGCACAAACAAAGTTCAGACATTCCTTACCTTTCCCTAGCATGCCGACATAGTTTCAAGAATTGGCCTGCATCCATCGATTGACGAAATAAGATAAGAGGAGATAAAGAGATACCTCTTGGTCCATAGCGGAGTCTCCAAAGCAAGTCCAGCGACAGACAACAAGGCGTGTTCCGTCACAGGAGTCTGATGTTAATTCTGTTGTAACAACTTCAGTGATGGGAAATTCGCTACGTTCTCAAAGAGGAATCGGTAGTATTAGCTTTGGTGGTATGATTTGGTTGAAGGAAAGGCGATTGAAAGGGATACAAGAAAAGTGACTCATACCTGCGAGGTCCTGCTCAGAACTTCGGTTTCACCACATTTCCCATGATTTCTCGAATCTCGTTGATCCTGAAATTGAATCCTTGTCTTCGGTAAAATACTTCCAAACGAGCGCACAAGATGACGGATAAATAAATTGAAATTAATTGAACGTTCTGGGGACCGGCCGCAGTTGCCTGTGATAATGCATGTAAACAATAAACATTGGATTCTGCACAGGGTTGTCACGTCGTGCAGAAAAAGCGTGGCAAGTATCTTTCAAAGCGGGAAATTCAAAAATACGCTTGTGATGATCATGGTCTCCTTTTCTTTCTTACAGAAGAAGGTAGCAATTATTAGGGATGGTCGAATATTTAGATATTCGATTCATCGGCACCGAGATAATCGCATCACATTCGAATATTCGCTTCCGAAGTATTCGAAATCGCAAATTCGAATATTCAAATAATCCCATTCGAATATTCGAATAATTGCATTCAAAAGTGTCAAAAGTATCATTTTATCTCTCACGGTTTATAAAAAATCAAAAATCGAAAATATTCGAATATTCGCATCCTAACTATTCGCAATCGCAAGATTCGAATTCTCAAATGGGTATTCGCAATAATCGCATTCGAAAAGTTTCAAATTCAATATTCGTCCATCCCTAGCAATTATATGTGGCAGGTAAATTTTGGTGAGAATGAGAAAATTTATTTTAAAAGCCTAGGAAAAAACGAGAAAAAAATGGAAAATCTTAAAAATGATGCAAAAGACTAACTCTGAATCTTGAACTTAAGAGCCTTGTCAATACAATCCAATAAATAAATTGTAGAATCAGATTTTCCATAATTCGTGATATTCTTATTTGAAGATCGAATTTTTAGGTAGAATTGACTAAATTATTTGACCGACTTCTAGACTACTATGAAAGATCTGCCATATTCATTTTTCATCTGCTTAAAACGTAAGGATCCAGATGGTTGATGATGCTCTATCTCACTTTTTTCAGGTGACAATCGACTTTTTTCAGTACTTGTTGAAGAAAATGATACATTTTGTTTAAGACTCAACTTTGAAATGTTTGAACTTTAACGTTGTTAACATAGAACTAAAAATAGACAATTTTTGACTTGTCAATTTCACCGCAAATAGTAGAAACATGTTAACCATTTTTGCAGGTATCTGTCACTCAATTAAGTATAATATTGCAATTCTTATCGAAACTTGCCTCTGTTTACTATTCAGAATTTAATTCAGAGCATTGAATCCCGAACCAGACTGGGAGTCAGTTTGATTGAGTCAACAGCACTGATGTTCGTTCACATTGCAAGTTCCAAGATTTTTCAAAATTTCAGTCCTTTTCGTAAAATTCCCTGAGTTTCCCTGACTTGAAGGAATCGCCTTAAAATTCTTAGTTTTTCAGACTTAAGGACACCCTATCTTTGATGTAAATACTTGAAAATGCGTGAAAAACACTTGAGGCATCACGTTCAAAAATATTTTTCTTGCACTTCAGAACTGTCAAATCACATCAAACAGATTGAGAGGAGTTAAAAAGATACAAGATGGCACAGAGAATATTTCCACGAAAAGCATACTGTTCAAATGGATTCTCAATCATGCATCATAGAGGAACTTTTCACAAATGTACACACACACAAAAAAAGGAATCAAGAGTGATGAATAAGTAGGAAAAAATATTTAATTATGATCATCCACACTAGGTATGTTACAGATAAAGAAATTTAATTTACAATCGTACTTACAATAACGAACTGTCCATCAATTTACAAAGATACATAAAAGAAAAACATTTAAAGATACTTACAAGTTGACAAATATTTACTTACCGCAGAAAGAGGTAGATAAAATTTTAAAAAATAACAAATTAGGAGATCAACCGCTCAAATGAAACAGTTTTACACAGGTGGGCAAGTCTCCAGAAAATCATACGGTAAGATAACTGAGTAAGATTACAGTAGAATTTCAAAGACCTTGTCGATCATTTATTGACCTTTCCAATATTTACTGCAATGCAAATGCAGTGCAGCCCAGCTGATCTTCAATGTTATGGTAACTGAACCTCTAGCAAAGAACTAAAAATAGGGTAACTTAAAATACAAAAATTTCACCATTATGAAATGTTTCTACATTAAAGTAATCAACAAAATGACCACAAAGCAGCCAGGTATGTTTCTTTAAAATTCTTTGTCATTGATAATTCATTACAGTTGTCTGAAGTGTCAAAGTTAATTACACAGACAATGGGCACAGCACACATAAATGGGAGCAGTGGAAAGGAATTGTTGCAGAGTTGTAGAATAGTAATTCTCTTGCAAAATTTTATGAAAAAACCAAGAAGGTTACTAATAAGTTAACAAAATCGTTTCCAAGGGGAGAGAGAATCATAATCGGACCAATCAAAAGCCGACAGTCAAGTGGACGTGCCAAGATGACGTCTGAGGCTGAATTTAGCCAATTAGCAAACGCTGTTTCTAACGCCTGGCTATGTCATCAGCGCCTGCAAAAAATACCGTTTCAAACTAATCCCATTTTTGGCGTTTTCAAGACCAAGTTTCTTTGCCACTCAGGGTTCAAAAAATCTGAAAAAATCCCTGGAAGGTACGTTAAGTTCACTCTCTACTATTAGAAAATGGTAATAATAATAATGATTGGGGCCCTTTCTGTTGCACTCTTCTCCCTCTTGTTGCGGAGGAGTGCGGCGAGATGAAGCACTTCAGAAGATAATAATAATAATAAATAAAAAAAATTGGTGTCACTGAGCCACTTACAGAGATAATTATGTTGAAAAAGAGTGGTTATCATTTTAATTATATGGGGTCTAGTAAAATATAGTGCCGAGCACACCATAAGAGAAGAAGATAGTAAAAATTAAGGCACCAGGGTAATCAATAACAAGCAGCAATAAATCAGTAACGAATCGGTGCAAAATATCATCAGAATGCATTTTGACAAAAATTATTTTGATTGCTTAAAAGAAATAAGACAGATTTTAGGTGTCTAAGCGTGTCATGACTGTAGCCTCTATTTATCTAATGCACAGCATTGTCTACATCAGAGCTCATGCAACTCATGTTGGAACAGATCACATATGCTAAACAACAAAAGAAGTCTCAAACTGTAAGGGCCAATTAAACAATTTTGTCTGAGCATTCACAAAGTCAGCAGCGACCTCAAAGATAATTCTCGCACTGTTATTTTTTCCAGTTAGACCATTATTCACACTGAATTCTAACGATTAATGGTAATTTGTTCTTAATTGTAAGCACAATGTCACCAACTACGAAGGTCTTCTTGCAAGAATCACTACTGAGCAGTCTACCAAAGGTCAGGAATTCATAAATTATAAAATTATCAATGATCAATTACATGAACTTTCATTGCTTATGAAAATTACAATCACAGGATGGAACTTGTAATTCTACAAAGAGTTATTCAGAGTCGTTGGATTGGATTCCTTCTTTCTCCGGTGGGTGGATCTTCCGCAGAAACATGTCAATGTCCTGGGTGTCCAGCAGATTTTTTGCTTCATGTTTAGATTTCACAGGTAAATCCTGAAAAATGAAATGAAATGACAAATAAATTTCTTGAATCCATGCAGAAACATAGTTGCAATGAAAAACGTGATCTGTCAGCTGACTTTTGCAATTCACAGTTCAGCAGAAGTTTGTATAAGACTAGACTGAACAAGCCTTGACTGGACGTATGGGATTACTAGGACTAGAATTTTCACAGATCACCGGTCGGATAAAGGGGTTTGATAGGAGTAAAAGAGAGAGGAAAAAAAGAAAAGAGAGGGGGTGCAAAAAGAGAGAGAGGAAGTAAGAAAAGGCTCTGAATCCCTTTTCAAATTTTGAGAAAGCCAATGCTTTTGACTGAAAGGGCTGGATCCCTTGACTTCTAAAATACTTTTTCAAATCTCTTTCTTCTTCCTCCCACCTCCCTTGACCAATTCAACATTATTTTGATGGCGCTTGAGAAGACTACTGCCATGCTAAGGAAAACGCTTCATGAATATTCGAGAGTTGCAAAATTTCCCCATATAAAATATGTATTTTTGAAGAAAGTTCTGCATATTTTCCTTTGAAATTTTCAGATATTTTGGACTGAATTGCAAACAAAACAAACTGAATATATTTGGAAAAAATGTTCACAATTTTCTCGGAAAAATTATTTTCCATTGAAGAAAATATGGCTGTGTCTGAAGGCTGATACAGCGTTTTTCCTTAGCAGAGCAGTACAGGAGCTGCTGCTGTAAAGGAAATCATCTTTGACTGGCTCCAGCCGATACCTAAAAAAGGGAAGTATTTGAGAGGAATTCATAAAAAGATCAGGGAAAGATTTCTGTGAAACATTTTGGAGTTCACAAGAGTAGAGTGTCTACAGACGGGGCAAGAATAAATATCCCTGACCTGATCAGGTTTTCCCTGACTAAAATAAATGAAAGTCCCTGACTTAAAATCAACAATTTGCATGCGTATAACTCAAAACAGAAATTTTGTGGCTTTAATTTCTCTGCAATGAGTTGGTAATTTTACTGCGTCCATCATTGATCATTTAATATTGACTAAAATTGCAATTTCTCATAAAAAATGATCCCTCTTTCACTATTCAGAGCACACTGTACCCTGAACCTCAAACCAAACTTAAAATCTTCCCATTTTTTTTATTGTGTGGACAAAGTTCATGTTATGTTGTTCAGGTTTAAAATATCAAGGTTTTTTTTCTCGTCTTTCCTTGAGATTCCTTGACTTTACCCTGTGGGCCGATATTGACAGTTTAAAGCAGGGCAGTAAGACTTCGGAACAATATACATTGCATGGTTAACATAAGGCTATGTCTTGTCTTGTCATATCGACATAGATTCAATGATCAGGCGCAGATCTAGTGGAATTTTTTGATAATTCCTGGTTTTCCAGACCTGTAAATATCCTTCAAAAATAACTGTTGCCTTGTAGTTTCACAGTGTTGGATAGCTTCTTAGAAATGAAAATACATACCGAGGTGGAAGTATTTTCATCTGATGAGTCCACAATTTTCCTTCTCTTGACCTTGTATTCGCTTATGTCCAAATCTTGCTCATCAGTTGTATATCTGCTGTTGGCTTCCACCCTAGGACAAAAAAAAAACAAACTTAGATTCATTCATTTTTTTTATTAAAGACGATACATGGGAGCCTTTTGCGAGACTAAAAAATGTCAATTTTTTCTGTAAATTTTAGATTTTACTTGAAGGGAAAAGATTTGAACAAAACCAAGTAGCCTTAAAGTAACCGATGACCATGAGTAGTAGTTCAGCGATTTTTCTGTTTTATTTATTCTCCTCACATATCGATGACAAAGGTGCAAAACCACAAATCTCATCAGTTGCGAAGTTCCAAAATTTCCGCTATTATATTTGTCAATGAGAGACAAGCCAATTTTACAGCTTGAAAATTACATAGAATATTTAGCTAAAAGAGAAGAAACATCAAGGAAGTTTTTAATATAATACGTTTAATAGTTTCCCAAAGAAAAAAATAAAGTATAACGAGAGCTCAGCAACGTTGCAAAACGGAGATTCATCGTTTTGCACGTTGGTCATTGCTATGAAAATCATCGATTCAGATTTTGCAGCCATACTTGAGACTATCGCAGAACACTCTTAAAACAGAGAAGAAAAATTACGAGAAATTTCAAAAGAATAAGTTGGTCCTAACTAATACCTAAACATGTAGTGATCTTAATCATAAAACTTTGAGAAACAAAGTATTTGAAAATGTACAGCTGAGAGAGAAAACAAAAATATGCATTAAAATCTTCTTCAAAAGATCGCTTCTGGATTATTAATTCTGGAATGGCGCTTCAAATGATTAACAAAACACAATAGTCTTTTGCGAAAATTAGCAGAGTTATCTACGGCAAATAAAAAGCATTCATGTTATGATGAGGAAAATTCCTCACTTTCTTTTCCAGTTTACAGGATGCACTTTGGAGGGCTTAGAGCTATAAATTGACATCGAAGATCAAACAAGTAAGGAAAGAAAGGTGTTTGTTGATGATGAGAACCTACCGAAACATGTCATGTAAACTTGAGAGGGGCGTGAAATTCAGAATTTTGTTCATGATTTTTGTGAAACAGCTGTAACAGCTGTGACGAACAGCAGTTTTTTGTGAAACATTTGTGAAGACAGCAAAAATTAAAGTATAGGAAGACAAATTTAGAGTCAAAATTTCATCCTGAATAGATTGGACATGTTGAAAATTTTCAAAATCAACTTAAGGTGAGAGATTACCTGACTTTGGTTCTTTAGCAAGCCGGAAGTTAGAAATTTTGAACACAGAGAATGGTAATCCCTCACATGAGAAATCGTAAACGAGGTCTTTTTCTACACTTTCCTACACTTCTACCACACTACACTCAGTTTTTCATTCTATCTTGTGGTTCATTAAACTCATTGGAAATTTGGTTTTAAAGTACAGGTAAAAATAGAAAATGCTCATTCTTTCTTGATTTTTTTTTTTTTCGTGCTTTTTATTGAAGAACTATGAAAAATTTTGATATATAGACTCACCCAAAATTTGAAGAGACACTGTCAGACGTAATTTCTCCATCTTCTAGTTCTGAGTCCTGCATCGAGCTAGCAGAAACATTCTGTACTTTTGAAGCGTCCAAAGTTTGATGATCATCGGGGCTCATTTTTTCTTCTTGCTGGCGCTGACTCTCTTTGAGTTTCCAATACTTGACGTAATCATCGTAAAGACCTTTCTCTTTAAGGCCCATTATTACCTCTTGACTTAATCCTGCAATGGGGCTTGGATCAGTCCTCTCAAATTCTAAAGGAGTCGTGGTCTCCGTTTCATGGGTCACTTCTAACTTTTGCTGATGGGAAAAATCGGGGTTCTTCAGATTATGACTCTCTCGAGAACGTCTGTGCTTTGCACCATTTCCAGATGATTTGGTTTCTTGAGTATGTCTATGAAGGTAATTCGAGTGTCTATCGCCATCTAGCGCTCTCTTTCTTGACGAAGGGTAATGGTCTTGTCTTCGATTTCTTTCACGGATATCTTGATCTTTGAGGGATGTAGAGCTATTACAAACTTTATACTTGCTTTGGCTGTGCATTTGAAGTTCTTTAGGAGACTGCCTTGTTCCTGAAGACTGAGATTTTCCGGAGAAATCTCTATGTTGGTGCTTAAGGGGTATAATTTTAATAGGACTCTTTCTCAATGGAAAGTAATGATCCTGCCCACGGTTTCTTTCTCGGTAATCGCGAACTTCAAGGGATGTAGAACTGTGACGAGCTTTGTCTCTGCTTTTGTTATACGTATGAACTTCTTTACAAGACAGTCTAGTTTCTGATGATGTAAATCTGCTTAATGGATCCCTGTGTTGGCTACGTCGTTCGTTCAAATGTACAGCTTCAGGAGATGGAGATCTTCGGGAGCAAATTGGTTTTTTTCTGCTGTACAATCGCTGTCCCTCCCAAGATCTCTGTGATCTGGAGAATGATTCTGAGCTCCTCCTGTCCTCACTAAGGCTATTCTTATCACACAAATGTCTCCCGTCTGGGGATTTTGCATGATGCCCTTTTCCATCAGCGATGAATTTTGCACTTTCACATTGCCGAGCTTCTCGAACTGGGGATCGGCTCTTGTGTTTCAGTTTTTCATGAGGTCTTTTTTGGTCAGGCCCATGCCAAGCTTCTCGAACTGGGGATCGGCTCTTGTGTTTCAGTTTATCTTGAGGTCCTTTTTGGTCAGGCCCATGCCAAGCTTCTCGAACTGGGGATCGGCTCTTGTATTTCAGTTTTTCTTGAGGTCCTTTTTGGTCAGGCCCATGCCAAGCTTCTCGAACTGGGGATCGGCTCTTGTGTTTCAGTCTTTCATGAGGTCCTTTTTGGTCATGCCCGCTGTAGGGTAAAGATTTTTGTGTTTTCCATTTTTCTCTACCATGGGTGTGAGATTGATATTTGTCTTGTCCATACTTACTTTCAGAGGACCTAGAACTTTGGTCCTCTTCTTCTGCACAAAGTGATCGATCAGAGGCATGCCCCATCTTGAGAATTTGAGTAGCTCCATTGTCTCTTTCTTGATTCGCTTTCTTTCTGTAAACATCTTTAATCATATCTTTTGTCATGTCATCATGCACTGATGGAATACTGAGCAGTACAGCCTCTTCAGTTACTGTATTTGTTGAAATAGTTATCAGCCCGTCATCAATCTCATACTCAACACAAAAACCATAGTTTTTCAGAAATTCTTCGTTGGCTTTGTGATCTACATCACTTTTAAAAGGAAGGGAGTTTTCGTCACTTGAGACATAAATGATATTTTGGAGGGACTCTTTTGGTGTGTAGATAATACTTTCCTCTCTTTTGTTGGTGCTGACAGATGGCTCTGAAAACTGACAGGTTTGTTCTGATTTTTTCTGAGATGCACAGATTACATTCGTCTGGTCTTGGTCTGATTTGGACTCATCGATGAATTTAACTGCGTCAAGCAACAAATCGTCGTCATTTTTATTGGATGAAATAGACCTACGAATTGACGAATCAGCTTTCAGAAGTATTTCTGACTCTGCCTTCTGTAAAATGTTCAATATTTCTGGGGAGGAGAACTTTGCCACAGGAAAATTATCTTGAGTGGCCTGATTTTCAGTTGTTGCAGCAGCCTGCTCCGAAACGTTTGAGGAGGAGGAAAGCAAAGTGGAACTGCAACTTTTTTTAATGTCTTCATCAGCTAGAATATTAATCACAGGCTTCATTGAGTTTGGTCCATGAGGTGAGAATTTGGGTAGTAACGGACTGACTTCTAAATTTTTCTCGCAGGAAAATTTTTCTCCTTCCCTTTCTTTTTCTTTCCCTGACAGTGGTCTAACAGGAGATGGAAAGCTGGAGATCGTGCTGGCATTTGGCTTACTATCAGAGCTGGAAGGTGCAGGAGATACAATCATCGGTGAAATCTTCATGTTTTTCACACCGTCCCGTTTGTTGGGGTTTAGTTTGGCTTTTGGCAGTGTGCTAGTTTCAGGACAAGACTTAGTAGGGCTGCATTTTGATTCAGTCTGCTTTTTTGGCTCCAAAAACTGTTGTGTCCCTCTTGATTTTTCCTGTATTGCACAGATTGCATTCCCTGCATCTTGACCCGATTTGGGCTTTTCAATAACTTTAGCTGCATCAAGAAACTTATCATATTTCTTACCTTTCTCTGATGTCTTTGGTTTATGAGGCGAGAGTTTTGGTAAAACTGGGCTGATTTCTGCATCTGTCTTGCAAGAGAAATTTTCACCTTCTGTTTTTCTTTCTTTTGCAGCAAGTTCTTTTGGAGATAGTTCTGGAGGTGAAAAGCTTTTTGTTGGGCTGACATTTGGTTTAGTGACGGAGCTAGAGGGTTCAGGAGATATCCTCATTGGAAAAGTCTGCATGGTTTTCTGATCCCTGCATTTATTCGGACTTAGTTTGACTTCTGACATTACTCTGGTTTTCGGGTTAGATTTCTCAGGGCTGCTTTCCCATTGCTCCATAGGCTGGCCGGTCTCTTCTGATTTTTCCTGTAGTGCATTATTTTGGTCTAATTTTAACTTCTCGATAATTTTACCTTCATCAAGCAACACATTATCATTCAAGCTGTTGGGTTGAATTGATGTGGGCGTTTGAGCATCAGTTTCTGAAATTATTTCGGACTTTACTTTCTGCGAATTTTTCGATTGGTTGGCTTTCGAATCTGCCTCAGGAGAGAATATTTCTCCCTCCATTTTCTTGTCAATTGCTAACACTGATTTAACTGGAGAGCAGTCTGTGGACGAAGAACTGATTTTTGAGCTGGCACTGGGCTCATTAGTGGAGCAAGAAGGTGCTGGAGATAACTTAGCCGGAGAGATCAGTATGTTTTTCTTCTTGCTGCTTTTTTTAGGGCTTAATTTTACTTTTGGCATTGTGCTGTTTTTCAGATCAGATTTACTTTTTGATTTTGTCTTCTTTTTTGGTGGCGAAAATTGAGAGGTCTCTTTTGTTTTTTCTTGTGATGCACTGATTGTATTCTCCTGGTCTTGATATGATTTGGACTTTTCATTAAGTTTACTTACATCAAGCGACAGTTCTTCATCGGTGCCGTCCAGTAGAACCAACGTGAGTGGTTGAGAATCTTTTTCTACAATTTTTTCTGACTTCGCCTTCCGCAAAATTTCCGATTGAAAGACTTCTGAATCTGCCTCATGGGAGAGTTTTTCACCTTCGACTTTCCTTTTTCTTGCAGTTTGTGGTTTGAGTGGAGAGCGTTCTGGAGATGAAATGCTCTTTTTCCTGGCATTTAGTTTACTGACGGATTTAGTAGGTGTGAGAGATGTTTTCTCGGGAGGGATCTGGATGTTTTTCTTTTGGCTGCGTGTCTTGGGGCTTGATATGGCTTTTGGCACTGCGCTGATTTTAAGGTTAGAATTTTTAGATCGCACTCTTGATTTGGTCTGCTTTTTTAGCTCCGCAAACTGACAGCTCTCTTCTAATTTTTCCAGTGATACAGAGATTACACTCCTCTGGTCTTGGTCTGGTCCTGACATTTTGATAAATTTACTTGCATCAGGTAACTTCTTGGTCCTATTGGATCGAATAGGCCTAGGAATCTGAGGATTAGTTTCTGCAATTTTTTCTGACTTGGCTTCTTGCAAAATTGTAGATTGAGTGACTTCTGAATCTGCATCACAGGGAAATTTTTCTTCTTCTATTTTCTTTCCTTTCGCTGTCAGTGTTTTTACCGAAGGGAGTTCTGAAGATGAAGAGCTCAACATTGGACTAGTATTTGCCTCACTTACAGAGCTAGAAGGTCTAGGAGATATTTTCACTGGAGAGATCTTGATGTTTTTCTTTCTGCCGCTCTTTTTGGGGCTTAATTTAACTTTCGGCATTAACCTAGTTTTAGGATTAGATCTCTTAGGGCTGCTTTTCAATTGCTCAGAAAACTGACTGGTCTCCTCTGATTTTTCTTGTGATACACCAGTAGTATTCTCCTGGTCTTGATGAGATTTGGACTTTTTGATAAATTTACCCATGTCGAGTGACTTATCATCACTTATCCTATTAGGCTGAATAGACTTGCAAATTTGAATCACTGGATTTTGGAGAAGTTTTGGATCAATTACTGAAATTGTTTCTGACTTGGCCTCTCGCAAAACTTTAGATTGACTGACTTCCAAATCCATCTCACAAGGAAAATTTTCTCTTTCTATTTTCTTTTCTTTTGCTGGCAATAATCTACCTGGTACGCTCGAGCTTGAAGGTTTAGGAGGTACTTTCACTGGAGAGATCTTCATCTTTTTCTTTTGGCCGCGTTTTTTCGGGATTACTTTGGCTTTTGACATTAAGCTGGTTTTAGGATTAGATTTTTCAGGGCTGGTTTTAGGATTAGACTTTTTGGGGCTAGTTTTAGGAATAGATTTTTTAGGGCTGCTTTTTGATTGTGTCTGCTTTTTTGGCGGCTCAGGTTCTTCGTAGTCACCTCGGAGCATGGCCCGGAGTTTGTGATCCCAGGACTCCTTCAAAGGTGTTGGTTTGACAGTGTTGACCGGCAATTTTGAGCAGCTGAGTGAATTAGAGTCTTCATCGCAGCTCTTGGAAGGGGTTGACTTTGGGGAGCTCACAATGAGCCCCAGTCCATTAATTTTGTCCCAACCACCACTAAGTCTAGGCTGAGGTGACCGCGTCGCAATTGTAAACTTTGACTGTTCAGGTGGAGGAACTGACTCTTGGCAACTGAGAGGTGATGCTTCTTTAATACAGCTTGGTGGAGACATGATTGATCTGACAGAGGGCGGCGTACTTGGATCTGGCTTTACAATATCATGGTTCACTGTATCGGGAGTGGTGGCCAAATACCATGATGTTTCCGGCGATTGAAAGAGTTCTCCTCGTCGAATGCTTTTGATGCGTTCACTGGGTGGTTCACTTGATTTTAGTGCTTTTGGTGATGTGTTGGCTTTTCGCTGAAATGAGTCTTTGAAATTTTGAGGTGTGCCAAAGTCTAAGACGCGTACATGATTTTTCTTTCGTCGTGGGGTGCTTAAACTCTGTCGATGGTTGTTAGGGACTCGCAAGGGAGAGATTGTAGCAAATTCAATCTGTGACTCAGTCTTTGGGTTGATTTCATCAAGTACATCGGTATCAGTCATTTTTGGAGGAGACTCTTTTTCAGTTCGATTTTCAATGGAAACGACTGCACAATTGGATGCAGAGTCAATTTTTGTGGTGTCTTCTGCAGTTTCCATTTCAGGCAGGTTTGATGCAGACGCAAGTGTAGTTTCAGGTCCACAGTTGGGTGCAGAGTTAATTTTTTCGGTGTCCCCTGCAGTTTCCATTTCAGGTAGGTTCGATGAAGATGCAAGTATGGTTTCTGGTCCACATTTGGGAGGAGACTCAACTTTTGTGGTGTCTTCTGCAGTTTCCGTTATAGGCAGGCTCGATGCAGACGTAAGCATGATTTCAGGTCCACATATGGATGCTGACTTAATTGTTGTGGTGTCTTCTGCAGATTCTGTTTCAGCGAGGTTCAATGCAATTCCAACAGGAATATCAAAATCTTCTTTAGGTTTAGTCTGGTCTAGATCTAAATCTGGTTTAGTTGCGGTTATTGCTGAACCACTTAAAACTGAATTTATACTTTCTGAAGGTGCTTTGCTAGGCACTGCGCTTCTTTCATCACCCACAGATGACATCGATTCAACAGGTTGTCTGAATGATTCAGCAGTTGTGACTAGATCATTGTTGACTGAGCTCATCTCTAAACAAGGATCTTTCGCTGCATCAAGGCTGCAAGCCTCAACTGAAACTGGTTCTTGAAATTCTGCAGCTACCTCTTTATTTTTCTTTGCTTTCTGAGGTGGTTCTTCTGGAGAGGATATTGCTGTTTTCATCTGAACTGAAAAATCAAAAAGGAGCTTCATTACATACTGCAAGATTTCAAAACAATTAGGGCAAAAATTACAGATATCATGACAATTGAATAGTTCTGATGCAGAAAAAAATAACCAGAACTATATCCTAATCGAGGGAAAAAGAGACCTTTCACCAAAAGAATTCAAAATTGAGTTACAGGACAACCCCCCCCCCCCCCCCCCCCCCCNCCACAGAAAATGTCAAACTCGACTGCAGTAAAGGCAGTTAGAAGTTAACAGTTCAAAAAACTTGGTTTCCAGAAAAAGGAAAAAAATTGAAATTCTCATTAGCCATGTTTAGGGTGCGAAATGAGCAAATTAAAATGATTGTGATTTGTGATGAGATCTATACCCTGAATTGGCATAGAAATGTACTTAACAGCTCGAAACTTTTACTTACTTCAGACACTAGCGACCATTATTTTTTTTTTAAAATCTCAAAATCTGGTTTTCCGACTCAACAAAAATTGCTCTACTGAGAATTTTGCTTTCATAGACTAAGGTCCTTGTTCCCATGGACAGCCACACATGGATTACATTTGGCATATGAAACTACTACAAGGTTGCCGATGGTAAAATGACACATGAATATTTTTTAATCTTCTTCTTTTAATCCTTTTTTTATCCTTCTTCTTTAACCCATTTTTCAATAAGGATATTCTACTTTCAAATTTCATAGGAAACGAATGCACATTCATTTGTGATACTTCCATAACCTTACTGAGAACAGTAACAGTTTTTAACAAGGTTTCTAGGAGATAGCGAACGGCAAACTTAGCCATAGAGTATGAAGTTTAGTTAAAAGCTGAATACCTGTAACCGCAGATACAGTGTCAGTAGTTTTCAGGGAAGATTTTTCTTTGATTCGATTTTCAATGGGTTCGACGCCACAGTTGGATGCAGACTCAGTTGTTGTGGTGTTTTCTGCAGTTTCGATTTTGGGTAGGTTTGAACCAGGCGTAGGTGCAGTTTCTAAATTTATTGCAATTTCAACAGGAATATCTTTATCTTCCTTAGGTTTAGTCTGGTTTGGGTCTAAATCAAATTTAGAAGGAGTTATTGCAGAATCAACTGAAATTAAGTTAGTGCTTTTTACAGGTGTTTTCCTAGGCGTTGCACTTCTTTCATCGCCCACAAATGACATTGCTTCAACAAGTTGTCTGTATGATTCAGCAGCCGTAACTTTTTCTTTGCTATCAGAGCTCGTCTCCAAACGAGCATCTTTTGCTGCATCAAGAATGCGAACCTCAACTACAAGTGGTTCTTTAAGCTTTCCAGTTGCCTCTTTCTTTTTCTTTGCATGTTGGCGTGGTTCCTTGGAAGATCTTGATCTTTTCATTTGAGCTGAAAAATTTAACAGGGTTTCATTTTTTACTGACAGATTTTAAAAGTAAAAATAAAGGGAAACATTGGGCCTGTTGCAAACTTTTGCTAAAGCAAAAATAAGAGTTGTTACTCATAGAAAATGGCTCAAAAATCATGGTGAATGCATCGACAAAGTCTGAAATGCACTCCGTACTTCACAATCTGCGTAAGAAATTCACGTTTTTTGAGCTTCCCGCTTCAAAAACGATACTACAGTACAGGTGAACATTTCATTAGAGAAGTTGTTCCTTCCAACCTCTGTGCAGTAGGATACTGCACAATATTCAACATGGCCGACACCAATCCGCCAAAACTGATGTGCCAGGACGAACTTCTGGCTATTTGTTAACAACCTGGCATGTTTAAATTCACGTTTTCCTCGCGTTGATAAAGATCTGTTTTGATAGCGTTGGTTATGCTGAGTATTGCAAAACATTCTAGTACGCAAGGATTGAATGGAACGACTACTCTAACGAAACGTTCACCTGTGCCGTAGTATCGGTCTTGAAGCAGGAAGCTCAAAAAAACGTGAATTTCTTAAGCAGATTGTGAAGTCAGGAGTGCATTTCAGACTTTGTTGATGCGCTCACCGTCATTTTTTAGCCATTTTCTATGAGAGACAACTCTTATTTTTGCTTTGGCAAAAGTTTGCAACAGACCCATTGCAAGAATCATGACAGCTGAATAGTTCGGATACAGAAAAAAGAACCACAACAATCACATAATAAACCTAAGACCGCAAGCCTCTCCGAAAAAAAGCTGAAGATTGCACATAAATAATTTTTATCTTTTCCTACCTTCTAAAGATTGTGACTGCTTTTTTTCAATATCCTGCTTTAGGCTTTCATATAAAATATTATTCTCCCATACGATGATAGTACTTTTAATGTCTGTTTACAAAAGGGGGGACATTAGAACAAAAAAACTCAAAACAGAAAAATCAACAGCTCCTTGAAAGAAGTGTTTACGATTTGTTGTTAAATGAAAAAAATACTCACGAATTTTAAAACTAACAAGAGTTAAGGCAGTTCAAAGTTAGCATATCAGAAACATGGTTTCGAGAGAAAATATTTGAAATTATTACAATCTGCTGGGTTAAAGGTAGGATTCTTGCAGAATTAGATGGAACTAGATAAGTGGCAGAATAAGAGAGAGGTACGATATTTACATGATAAAAATCCATTGCAGAGACAAATGGGAATAAATACCTGGCATTGCTGAGTGTGGAAAAGTAGTCTGCATCTCAGTCACAAAATTGGTGGAGTTAGTTGACCCCGGCTTTGGCGCGATGTTGACAAATTCATTTTTAGCTGGAATCTCACCGAAATGTAACAGCGTTCCATGCTGATTATTCGTTACTGCACAAAACAAAAATTTTACCAATTAAACGCACAATAATTAAGGGAAAACCGGATCAGATCTTTGAATCACACACCTAAAAATAAATCTTATGACAATAAAGAACAAGAACTCAGGAGAGAACGTTAAGTCTCGCATGAAATCACACATACAAAAGACTATTGTCGCGACAGAGAATGTATGCATTTGTCTGTGTTTTTTTTTTGCAGATAAAATGAGTTTGAGACGGCTGAAACATCATGCTTCAACAAATTTGAAAAAATTAAGATTATTTTACAAGTTCACCTCTATTGTTATCTTTCAATCCTCTCTTTAACCTTTTTCATTAAAAACAGTTTCCACACTTTCTTCAGTTTCCGATTCCCTGCTTTTCCCGGACTCCAAGATGTTTGGTTCTTCTGAGATTGAAGAAAACTTTCATTTGTATTATTTTTCCTTTAAATTACACTCACTTCTGCTAAACGTTGCTTGCAAAATTCCCTGACTTTTCCCATGAATTCCAAGACTTTCCAGGTTTTCTAGACCACCCGAAACCCTGACAATGGCAGACTACACAAGGTTTTAACCAGAAGAAAAGATAACATGTTTCCTCTTCGCACTCTCAAGAAGAAGAAGAGTCAAACGATGGGATGTTGGGAAATCAATTCCTGAACGAGATATGAACAAATATTTTTAACAAGGATCGAGTGGAAGTTAGATCATACAAATGACATCATTTGCAATTATTTCTTTTAACCAATGTTAATATCTTGTTAAGAAGTTTTTCTGGACTTCTTGTAGTGCTTTTCATTTTTTTCGTGAATCGTTGAGGAGGAAACATGTTATGCGATGCTCCAATTCATACCTTAGACGTATTTTGTTTGGCGTAACAATCGTAACTGTTTCGCATCAGTGTGTGACATTCGTATTTTGTTTGAGTGTTACCGGAAATGAGGGGGCATGGCTTATTTAATTGGAATTTTTTTGCACAACATGGCAACGCTGTCGTAACATTTTGATACGTATCACTTGCAACGTGCTCGGAGCAGGTTACGACTGTTGTGTATATTTGTTAACAAGATTTCTAACCTCACTTCTAGCTGCTTTGCTCTCCTTGGTTGTGAAAAAGTGACGCAAATAACACAAAATTGGTAACAGGAAACAATTGCTGCGACAAACAAAATACATCTCTTGTCTCGAGGCCCATTATATGATTGAGAAATTTCCTCTCCCTTCTTAACTATTGACAGCCCTGAATCAAACTTACTGATTTTTGAAGACACCGTTGAGCTCACTTCTGTACTAGTCGGTATGAACGAGTAATATCCATCCGCGGTCTGCATCACCAGCTGTTGTGACTCGACCAAATTCGCAGCTTCCGCTAGGACAATGATACTTGACTCCACTCTCTGTGAATTTGTCACCTGCACCGGTTGTACGCTTGACACCTGCAAAGGCGATATCCTCGACAATTCTACTGGTTGTGCACTGGACCCTGTCACCGCCACTGTTGATATCGTTAGAGGCTGGGTGCTTGATACCTCTGCTGGTTGCATATTTGTCAGTTCTAAAAGCTGCGGTGTTGAAGACTCAGTAGAATGCACTGCGCAATTGACTGAAAGTTGTTCTGGCAAGTGGCTTGCAGGAATTTGCGAGGAGATTGCACTTGCCGGTTGCATGGAGATCGTTTTCGGAATTTGCATGATATTTTCCGGTGGCTTTTGGAGCTCTCCGATTTCTGATGTGCTACAGGTTTTTGTGAGTGATGCTGTCTTTTGTGGGCTGGGGATATTACTCGGACCTAGAAGAGGGGAGAATCAGTAGCTTAAAAAAATATTTCCGCAAAGTTCTAGACCTATGTGAAAGAAAAATTATCATATTGCTCCATGCAAAGCTTATAAAAATAATCAGATCTTTGGTTTTGTGATGTTGACTTGCACTGTTATTGCAGAGTTGTTTCAAAGTTTTTCCTTATGAAATTTTGTACACTAATACCTGAGATGTTGATGAGGTGTGGCTTTGAGGGACTTCTAGAAAAATACCTCAAAATTGAGAAATTTTCAATTGAAAAATCAACGGTTGAACCATTCTTGAAAGTACTGTGCAGCAGGGAGATATAATAAGCCCGTTCTCATGATTTGTGGCCAACATGGGGCAGATCTTGAGTTGTGAGGTAAATTCCAAAGTCGATTACCTTTTTTTTATTTTCTTCATGCTCAATACTTCAAACAAATGGAAAAATCACACTTTCTGTTGTGGAATCAAGACATTTTCACATGAGAACTCGGCGGTCTGTTGGAATTTTGGACCTTTATAAAGCTGAAAGCTGTGCACCTCACAAAATTCAGTAGATATTGTATTCTGAAAACGGAACTTCTTTAACAATTGAAATTCAACCAGGAAAATAAAGTGAATTGTTTCTTTCCTTCATTGGTATGAAATTCACTGAACCTTCCTGACTAAGCACGACATTTTTCAATGCATTTGCCTGAGCTAGACTTTCTTCCCCTTCAGTATTGCATTAAAACACATTACAAGTCATTTCGCAGCTTTAATTATAATTTTTGGTTTTTTCCTGATTCTGATATCCTTTTGGTATAGTGTGGACCCATCACTATTCTACCATCCTGTCACCCTTTCCAATGGATATTTCTGAACTCAAGAGTACAATTTACACACAGTTTCCAATAATATTTTTTTCCGTGTCAAAAAATAGATCATTACGAGAGAGTCATTTTTTTTTTCCAAAATACAGAATATTTGTGCGATACTATGACTTACTGACTAACAAGATTACTGTATTGTAAAAATAGTGCATTTTCATCTTCATCTGACCAATTTCTTGGCATGGCGAATAATTTTTGTTTCTTCATTGAAAAATTTTAAATTTTAAAGGACCATAATTGTTTAAGTTTTATTACAGTGCATATATTTAGTATTTTTTGAAGCAAAGAAGTTGTAGGATTTTGATAATATTGTAATCATGTTGGTTCCCTTCTGCTAAATTCAATGCAATAACTTCAATTAAAATGATTTGATTTTCGATGAGAACTTACAAATTTCATTTTGGGCATTTTGCGATGACGGTTGTAAGTCTGCTGAGGGCAAAACCCCATTTCCGAAGTCCGCAGTGGGCAACACATCGCCATGAGCAAGATTAATTTCAGGAATTGTTCCTGACTTAGGTATTTCCTGGACTTTTGGCGTATTATTTGGAGAAGAAGGTGCCGGAGCAGGTGTAGGTAATTGATCTGCAAGGAGGGTTAATTTCAATAGTGCAAAATATTAGACTTGGGTCAAACAGAATACGAGAACATAATCACAGAATACCAGTGGAGATACCCTGCAGAGGGTTCAACTCGAAGAAATGCTCCATCAGCAAACCTAAAAAATACCATTTGAGCACTTGTCTTTCAGATTTTGTCACCCTTGCTATCAGATGAATTTATTGAAAGACTCGTTTTCATAACATCTATGAATTATACAACAGGGTGTCTACTAAAACAGGCTGCTCAAAAATCAGTACTTTTACAGTACATTCCCGAGAAATTCAGTACCTCCCTCAACAGAAAAATTCAGTACTTTTTCAATACCTTCAACTGCTAAAATTTGAATAATTTCAATTTGAATTTCTCGCTCAAAGTGCGACAAAATTGAAACAAATTCTGGACTTTCTTGCACAATTTCCGCACTTTTCCAGTACTTCCGGACCACCCCTAAAAAATCAGTACTATTTTCCGACTTTCTGGACTTGTAGACACCCTGTACAAACAGTTCCTTCTTGAGACCCCAAGTCCAATCGAGAGGCTGAGAAGCCAAGCTAAGAAAACGAAAATGCACACATGAAAAATTTGATTACAACAACTTTAAGCACATTTCTATTTAAGTTAGAGAGAAAAGAAGAACTGACCTATGATTTCAGCGAGAACATCGTCGAAGACAGGATCCTCGTCAACAAGCTGATTGACGAGTGATTTGATAGCCGTATCCAGCTGCTCTCCAGCTGACTTTCCTATGTCTTTGCTTTTGTCTCTACTCCTCGTTCGTGGCTTATCCGGGAAATTTAAAGCTTTGTTGATATTTATGGAGATTTTTGAACAGAGATCAGGTTTGTCTAGGAAGAGGTTTGTCAAGTTTGGTAGATTTGGCTTCTTAAAACGCTAGAAAGAAAAGAAAAAAAATACGATTAGTATACTCTCTTTGTTCATATTTTAGAGGATTATTGCACACTTATTGATAATCAGTATAAAGAACTTATTTCTCCATTTATTCGATGATTCAGTTAAATTAAATCACATAATTTTCCTGGTAAAACAGCTTAACTGCGTTTCAAAATGAGCCTTGTCATGGACTAAAAAATTGGGTTGTGCAAATGAATCCTTATCGGTGAGCTATTGATATACTTTTTTTTCACAATACCAATATAGTCTAATGTGGACACTATTTTCAGAATCCGCCAACTCTAGCCAAGATGCAAGATCCCTTAGTCCAACTAAAACTCAAGAAAATGCACCAATTGGGCTTCAGTTGCGATTACCACTTGTTCAGAAAAGTTTATGATGTGAGAGACTGGGCAGAAAAATATCCTTTGTTCAATTATAGAAATGTGACTGGATCTGTGAGAAGGGTACCGATCTCTCAAAAGAAAATTTTCTGAAACTATTGCAAATGCACCGAGGAGGAAAATCTGGAAATTTTGGCGCAAATAAAACCTTTAAGTCTGAAATATAGAGGGATATATTAGTCCTGAAGCTCTACGACAAAAATTCTTAGACTAAGGAAAAACGGTATTTCAGTGATTGCCAAAAGTTGAAGAAAATTTTTTCCAGGAAGGTAAGGTCTCTTTTCACACATATGGTCACTAATATGAATACTCAGCTTTTGGGAACAGTTGGTCATACGTGAAAAGTCTCAACAACTTACATTGGAATCAACTGGTGTTTGGTTAGCGGATCCTTCATCACTAAAAAAATCATCATTCTTCACTATGAGTGGTGATTTACGTCGGTTTCTTGTGTTGCCTGGCAGAGACTCCAGGCTCGTAGTTTCAGGAACCGGCAAAACAGACCCCACACTAAAAGATAGAGGAGAAAATAATTAGTTAGGAGACTATCAGTGTACCTTTGGTACCTTCCAAAAAAAAAAAATCCAATTTTGACCCTGGGCTTCTCAAATATTTACAGAGACTAAGGCCTATTTTACGGATACTTAGATAAAAGAAAGCGTAGTGGGTTACATACCTGCCCCTGCAACTTTGATATAAACGAAAGTTGGAAAAAAAAAGGTGGGCACTCTCTCTGTAACTTACAGCATTCTTTACAGCGCTCAAGCATTTCATCCAGCTGGCCATATTTTTGTATTTTTTAATGGAAGCGGAGCTTAAAAAAAAAGGAGAAAACAACCTCAAGCTCCCGGCCTCAAATTAAGTCACATAGATGAGATATCTCCATTCATCGTGACTTTTTGACCATAAAACAGGCACTTTCTTATCAACTAGCTCTAAGTTTCTCGAAAAGAGGTGGATATTCAAAAGCTTGCCCTGGTATTACAATGCCTCGGGATTTAAGCAATTAGGGACAGCACTGGCTTGAATATTTTACACAGCTTGATATTTTCTGTCAAAATTTAGTTTTTTTTTTTACAGCAGGACCATAACATTGATTTAATATTTACAAAGAAAATCACAAAAGAAGATAAAGTGTAAGCAAATACGCTTGAAAATATAATGTTTTCGAGGGTTCCAAAATATTGTGTGATACCATAATAATCAAAGCCATGACTTTCACTTTTTTCTACCAATTTGATTTTCAGTAGCATTCCATCTTTTATAGAGCTGTGACACTCTTGATTGATGAGAGTACTATTAAGGCTCTAGTAAATAATTTTTGTTTTGTTTTTGTTGCAGGTAATATTATGTGGCAGAATATATCTTCCCAGACCTGTCTTCAGTTTTGTAAGTACCCATTTATAGGCCGTTCGGTAGATTTGAGTTCATGATTGAGTTTGCATTCATAACATACGGAAAAAAATAATCCTAAAAAACAACCAGAAATTGATTCATTGGCTCACGTAACAATTTAGTTAAAAAAATAAAAACTTTATTGCATTCAATTGCAGAAGTATTTTCACACAGATTTTTGAGTCTCTCAAAAGGTGTTGCTATGGTTCAGCAGTCAAACGCCACTTTCAACTGCTGATCGCAGAGAAAAGAACAAAGGCACTGAAATTTTAGAATCCCATGGAGCTCGTTGCAATCTGAGCACTCAGCTCCATATTAGAAAGTGCATCTTTTCTTTTATTTTGAGTCGGAAACAATAAGCAGGTTTAATATTTGAGAGCAGCGAGCAGTCGTTCATTTGGCACATAATGCGCCGTAAGTGTCCGATGAAGAAACCATAGGAACTGAATTTCTTTGTCCTAACCTAAATTTTGCTCATGATGGTTGATGGGGTACTGACGTCACCATTGGCGAGGCATATTCGCGATACATACGAATTACTTGAAAGTAGTGTGCAGTCGTCCGTTGCGCAATTTGAAAACTAATCAGGAACTTGAATATAAAACATACAAGGTTTCATGCCTTGCAGGTGTAAATATAGGATAGTTTTTTAAATTGCGATTCGCTTGAAGCAAATTAATGAATACGTAGAAATTAAAGAACTTTATAGGCACAGAAAAAGATGTAATGGGTTCTTCCAGTGACAGCGTTGATTAAAAAACAATTACCGGTAATCTAAATACTTTCAAGAATTATTTATCACGATGCAAAAATTCAAATACGTTCCTTTCACAAAAATGGCTTCAAAGTAATCGAACAAGCACTTGGACTTGATACAGCCGCTTGATTGTTGAATCAATATCAAATGACATGATTGATGAAAAGCATTGCTCAGATGATCATTTGATTATTTGATAACGATTCAACAATCGACCTGCAAATATCAAACAGGTGAGTTCTTGGCGATTGCAATGAGCATCCCATATGCATGGCGCGCTTAAAAACCAAAGATCCAAAGAAAACCAAAGCAAACCAAAAAGACTAGCCACAGTGAGTTAGTTTTCGGTGTTTCCTACAAAGTTGACATTTTGGCCTTTGCGATATTTTCCCTGATAGGAGACAAACAGTGGTAGAGCGATAAAATTCAACCTTGAAAATTAGATTTGGTTGAGGAGAAAAAAGAAATAATAAAATAATGACTTACTCATCATCAACAGGGAAAGGGAACGATGTAAAAACAGTACTTGATCCAGGGAATGTAGCTTTATCAGAAGCGTTTTTTGTACGGGATTTCTTAGCCATTTTGTGGAATGGAGAAGTCGCCACTTTTTCAGGAGTTTTTGGATCAACCTGAACAAATCGTAATAACTATTATTAGAAGATGACACAACAGAGTATTATGAGTCAGTAGTTTTGAGCATGATTCTGCCTAGTGGTAAAGGTGCCACTTAGTTCACAACTGACTTTTCGCCTTTCGCAATACTATTAAAAAAATCCTTAAATCCTTGCAAGAGGGGTCCTCTGAGTACTTTCCTTCAAAGTTTCGCTGAAATATTTTACCTTAGCAAGAGGTAAACTGAAAAAAAGAGCATCACAGACATTAAAAATAAAGGCACTATTTTTGTGATGCCCGTGAAACTCTATTTTCCAGTATAGCTCTTACTGTGGTTTATTTCTTTAAAAATGAAAGTTTGAGGGAGAGCAAGAGACCTCTCTTGCAGAGGTTTAAGGCTTTTTAATAAAAATGTTTATACACTAAATATTTAACCCTTTACAACACTTTAAAATGTAATGTCAGTGACAGAAAAAAATGTCTGGCAGCAGAACATCTGTCCTCTTAACTTTGAGGGGGAACATAATTAAATTAGTAAAGTAGTACACTTAGTTCCTTCAAACGACAACAGAAAATTCCAAAATTCCGAGTCTTCTAAATCTGTGTCCATCTGGTATCTGGTACAATTTGTTTCGCCGTACCTTTATAAAATTAGTTCATGTAGATAAATACACAGCATATAGTTTTTTGCAGTACCTAGTTACTACATTTTTTTTTTCTTTCCAAAAATAAATTGTTTGCAGAAATTTAAAAAAGAAAAAAAAAATTAGGACCACTCTGAAATTAAGTTAAGGTAAATTTGCTCCCGGAGAATAAGGTTCCTTTCTACAGATCCAATCACACATTTTGATAGTATGAGCAAACTTTGTTCAGTGGCTTACTACTGACAATATTTTACTGTCAAATTTTTCTCAGTCTTAAGGTATTTACCAACCTGATTTGGAACTCTTGCTGCCTGATCATTGTTCCCAGCTTTGAAGTTCATGGAGTTTAACAGGTAGTCGAGTTGTTCTGGGAGGCTGAGTTTTTCCAGTGGGTCATTCTCAAACGTGCAAAGATGGCTTTGTACTGAAAAAGTGTAATCCATAAAGATATATAAAAATTGTTGACATTTAATTGAATTTTGCGTATCATGACAAAAAGAGATACAGGCAAAAAAACAAAAAAAAAGGAGAAGGGGCAGGCACTGACACTACGGCTGCACTGACGCATCAAGGGGCAAAAGTCCGCGAGTTGTGAAACAACAGTCAAACCTTCTTCTACCAACATATTGACCAAACTCATGTACTCAAATTTTGCATTTTAAGCTGCTGTCACATCAGTACGACAGCCATCAGAAAAGCCTTGATTACCACATCCATATCTTTTATCTATGAAAGCTATCTATCCCCAAGGTAAGTGAAACGAAGGTGTGCTCTTGCCGACGCCTTGGACGACGATGTCGATGACTGACATGGCTCATAGTATTTTCCAGTTTCTTCCAAAGAACATAATATACCCAATAGTTATGATTTGGTTCAAAATAAAATAAAAATATTAAAGTTGATACACTTTGGTGAACTTAAGAGTCCATGGAAATTTAAAAAAAGAGCCAGATTTGTGAAATAATAGGTATACTTGATAGGATGGGCACCGAGGACGGCTCAGTATAAATGAATGACTGCAAAACTAGGAATTATCTATAGGAATCAGTATTGGTGTTAAAAAAACTGCAATTTCAATTTGCTGTGGGGTAACTCTCGATAAATTTTGTTCTATAACTGCAAAGTTAGACTCACCGGTGCGATAAACAGAACACAGATAATCTAGACATTGAAGGAGCGTCAGACCCATGACTTTGGTAGAGAATCTTCTATTTTGCAAATAGAAAGCGTGACACTCTTTCAGATGCTGGGATGTTTGTAGGAACAACAAAGCAGCCTCCGGGCATTTTTCAGCTTCCAGGTACCCTGAAAAGGTCAAAACAAGATCTGATGAATTTTCGGTTTACAATACATGAAGATAACGCAGCTTTAGAATAAACCGTCTCAAAATGTCCCTCAGTCTGTAACACCACTTAAATATTATTAAATACATTCTTCTATTCCTCTACTTTACTTATGTTTATTAGATATATGTTTTATATCTATTAATTTAAATATATTCAAATGCTGTTTCATCAGTACAGCACTTGAAAATTTTTAGACACATTCTTGCATACCTCTACTTTGCTGATGTCCGTAAATTAGCGCTTGCTTGTTTTGTGCTGAGCAAAACGATGTAAGTGCTGCCAGTTAGGAACCCTTTAAGTGTCTTTGGCATGCTTGCTCATTGACTAATTTCACTGGGAAGCTGGGGCATCATCATATAATTCCAACTGAGCTTGCTGATACTCTAGCAGAGCGCAGCAGACAGACTGAAAACTGGAGCTTACCTCAAACCAAGCCTCTGAGAGTAAGTGAGAACTAGGTTTCAGGGAATTGTCTCCTAGAAAACCTCCAACTTTAATAGGGTCAGAACTTGAACAGAAAGAAACTGTCAGAACTTGTCAGCGGTTTTATCTCACGGACATTGATTGAAGGTGCGTGGAAGACGCAAACTTGCCCATCTCGATAACGCAGTTACATTTGCCAGATGCCCTTCAACAAGCCCATCAATCTACAAACAATTTTCGCCATTGGATAAGAATGCAGGGCTTTCTTGCAAAAGCCTACTACTTATCATGTAACTTGAGCGAGGACGAACGAAGTTGACCGTTTGACATCTGTCAATTCCATTTCCAGTGCGTCCTGAAAATTCCATTTCCATAGAGCAGCTTGCTTGTAAATGCGGTTATTAGATATATAGAGAAAAGTCGGAGAAAAGGGTCTGTGTCACTCACCATAAACTAATCGAGCAACTTCAGAGGGCAACAGCGCCTCCATGTTTATCTTCCTTTACAAAGATATCTGTTCAAAAGATCTGACTAATTAAAAAGGCATTCACTTTAGAAGTTTTAACATTACACGTCGGGACATTCCAAATAAAGACACAGTGTAAATTTTCATTGATGAGTTGAAAATTCACAGCACAATAAACAAAAACAAATAAGCTAATTTCTGATTATAACCTCCAAAATTTCCTTCTGATATTTTTTCCCTCCCCTGCGTGCGCGCGAATAGCATCAACCAATCAGGGACGTTCAGCAGTGAACCATTTGGCGCGCTGTTCAAATAATTTGTCTCTGGTGTATGTACTTCGTGATGTAATTCGTGTGCCACTTGCCACTGCCAACGGCTGTAAGTAGGTAAAAAATAAATAAGTAGGTAAACACATTTCTGTGATGCAAAAACGTGATCACGTGCTCACTGCTCAACGTGAACATACATCATGCTAACTTGGAAGTTCAATCTTTTATCATTGTTGGTTTATGCTTCTGTGTGATTCTCCGTCTTCTGTCGTATAAATTCAGAGGTATGTTCTCGAGGCATAGTTGAATTTTCGGGTCACAAATGTTATGTGCAGAAGTTTAAACTTGTCATCCTAAATTACCCTCCCCCCCCCCCCNTCGGCACCTATCTGCTGAATTCCTAATAATTATCTTTGAATATATTCAAATTAGAGAGGCATAAATTCCAAGAAAAACTGTCAGGTGGTTTCCTTTTACAAGAATTACTAAAACATAAATGGAGATTTGCAACGCCGAGATCGAAATGCCGCATTTGTCGACTTAAGCTATCGATCTGTTGTTCGTAAACAGTGCATTGTGTGTCAAAGAGAAAAATAAGAGAAAGTTAAAACTCTCCGTCACAATTGCATAGCTGCAGAAGATAACTGCGCGACTCAGGAGCGGCGCGGCGCGCGCCTTCATTTCCGTGAGACACTTCCCGCATCGCCGCGAAGTTGATATAGATGCATGACCCAATCTAACCTAACTCGAGTCTTCCGAGGCAGTTCCACGCCTTTGCGACAGATTTGAATCGGATCGAAATCATTAATTGAAGTGAATCAATTGATGTCGGGAGTATTCAAATATCTAGATATCAAAAATATTCTGCTGCATTGTTGATTTCTTTTTCGATTTTGAATTGAATCGAAACGTGCGAAAACCGCTAATGTCCATTTTTCCGGTCTTCAGTTTTTTTGAGTTAGCAATACTTTTCGGAGGTTGATGCAACTAAGGAAGTGGTGTTAATACTCGTCTCCGGGTTAGTTTAATCCTATAACGAGTCTTTAATCACTTTTATGGTTGTATCAACTCTTTAAAAGTATTATCAACTCAAAATAACTGAAGACCGGAAAAATGGACCTAAGCGGTTTTCGCACGTTTCGATTCAATTCAAAATCGAAAAAGAAATCAACAATGCAGCAGAATATTTATGACATCTAGATATTCGTTTACTTCCGACATTAATTGATTCACTTCAATTAATGATTTTGATCCGATTCAAATCTGTTGCAAAGGCGTGGAACTGCCTCGGGAGACTCGAGTTAGGTTAGATTGGGTCACACAACTATATCAACTTCGCGGCGGTGCGGGAAGTGTCTCACTGAAATGAAGGCGCGCGTCTCGCCGCTCCTGAGTCGCGCAGTTATCTTCTGCAGCTGCAATCTGCAATTGTAGCGGAGAGTTTTAACTTTCTCTTATTTTTCTCTTTGGCACACAGTGCACTGTTTACGAACAACAAATCGATAGCTTAAGTCGACAAATGCGGCATTTCGATTTTGGTGTTGCAAATCTCCATTTATGTTTAAGTAATGTTCAGTAATTTATGTTTAAGTTTATGTTAAGTAATGTTTGTAAAAGGAAACCAACTGACAGTTTGTCATTGAATTTATGCGTCTCTATTTTTATTTGATTATATTTAAAGAATAATTACTGAGATTTCTAATAATAACTGAAGTTTTGAAAAACTAACACATTTAGGCATCTAATTCTTTTGAATTAATCTCTAATCAACGATGATGATAATAATTACAAAATTGTACTCGTGAGTGAATGACTCTTCTTGTAAGCATATTCAGCATTTTGGTCCCTTCCCTTCCATAATCTATTTGTGCGGCAGCACAGCGTGATAAATTGCTCGCGTTTGAAGTGAAGGCGCCTTCTGTTTTTTAAGTCGGAGTTCCGCGAAATGAAGCCAGAAGGCATCAATCATCATGCAACAGTACCTGCGCCTTAATTGTTCCCGTCACTGATGTGAGATCTCCACCTCATCTAGAGAAAAGACGGTACTCCGGAAAATTTAAGAATAAAAAGGCATCCATTTTAATATTCCCGTAGTTTTTTTTTTATAATATTGCGAATGACATGAGAGTGCCGCGTAATACTGAATAATCTCTGTAAAAATAGTGTACTTTTCGTGTTCCTATGGAAATCAATAATACCGTCAACTTGGTAAAAGCTCATGTATGTACCAACCTATTTCATTTTTTTTTATCGATTTTACCGTCGAGTGTTGTTCCATCTTCAGCTTCTTAACGTTCTTGTAAACTCCCTTCATACCATACCTACAATATTTTGCGCAGCAACACGAAAAAGTGAGAAACTTTGAAAATCAATCTGTTGTTTCTCCTTCAATTCTGGCGATGATGCCTAAGCCACGTTCTGCAAAGTTTACCAGTGCCCGTCGGAAATTCGCTATCTACCGTCGGATTGAGAGGCGTCTTTCGAAGGAGTGATTCACGCAGTCTCTTCCCTGTAACCAAAATAGTATCCCTCGTAATTGAAGGCGGTCCTGCAGAATCGACCATATGAGGAGTAACACTCGTTGAATTCAGGGGTCAGGGCTTTATAATTATTTATTCAAACTGTGCTTTAGTCAATCCCCCCCCCCCTTATCGTTGATTCTGAAAGGATGCAAAAGTTATAGATTTCGCATCAGTCCATCAGTGAAAGGCACTTGTGATAGATGTTGCCAGCGGTCTATGTATTTGGGAAGCTAATAATTATTAGAAACAATCGTCATTATTGTCCGTGTCATCTTAATTTAGGCTGATAGTGGAGGTTCCTTTTTTCAAATCATCATCTAACTTCTCTAGCTTTGTTTGTGAATGAACAATACCGAGAATAAACGCTGCTTATTTATTCCCGCTTTTAGCAGCAAGTCATTCATTTTTTTAATGTTCCAGTTTTCAATTTGGAAGGAACAAATCCAAATCTGATGCTTTCAACAGTGCCATCGTTAGTTTTTCGGGGAATACATATTTTGTTTAAAAGTATGAAGGTTACCCGGAAAAATCTGTTTTTATATGTACACTGGAAAAAAAAAAACACATTGGATCTAGAGTCCAGACTCTTGAAAACATTGACAAGAAAAAGGACTCTTGATTCAATCAGATTTAAGCTTATATCAAAAGGAAATCCGCTCAAATTAAGAGGCTTGGTTCTTGATTTAAGCTTAATTCTGATTGAATCAAGAGTATTTTTTCTTGTCGATGTTTTTAAGAGTCTGGACTCTAGATCCAAGCGACTTTTTTATCCAGTGTATAAGCCGTGTAACTTTCAAACAATAGACGGAGATAGAATTCGGGAGATGTCGAAGAATAAAAAAAATTGAAATTGTTTGCATGCATCTTAGTAATACAGTGGATATCGGGGCATAACGACGCAATTTGACCGGTCCCGGCTGAACTCCCATTCAGCCAATGTATTTTCGTATTGTCTTGAACGATATAGCTATAGCTATAGCTATTGTCTATAACTATAGATCGCATATAGCGACATATCGGCCTTAGCGACGGACTTTCCACAAAATTTAGGGCCGCGCTATTGCTTTTACGGATCTGGATGTTTCCTTGAAAATTTAAAAAAAACACCTAATGCGACACAAAATAAATAAATAAATAAATAAATAAATAAATAAATAAATAAATAAATAAAAGCTTGACTACAACGACCGGAGCATTGCCCAGCGGAGGCAATGCACCTTAAATGCTCTCTATTTAAGACCATCGATACTTAAGTAAATGAAGGGAAGAAAATTAGTAGGATTTTATGTAGCATGTCTTAAATGAGAATGATCCATTCAGTGTGCGCAAAAACTCCACCTTAGTAACAAGTTCTCTTTATTTTTTTATCTTTAATTTTTTGCTCTTTGATATGGCTTTGGCCTTCGTGCATCAGCACTAACAACCAAGCAAAATGAGAACTGCCCAACTCCGCCCGTTTGAATAATAGCGCCAAACACACTGCAGTCAGCGTGAAACGCATATATACCAGCGCCTACAAGACCTCGTGGATACTTCACGCATTGCGCCTGGTGCGCGCCACACTACTGCAGTCGGCTCGGTCGGCTTGAAGCGCATATTAGCGCCTTCAAGACTGACGGAACACTTCAGGCATTGCGCCAAATACAGTGCGGTCGGCGTAGAACACATATTAGCACGTACAAGACTGAATGCGTACTTTACGCATCGCGCCTACACTAAGGTGCCTACTTTGTCGTTGAATATTCGTAATTTATCGGTGTTAGACCTACACCGCTCGCGATGCGCACAATTTATGATTAGTGTACACAGTGTGTGACATACACCTGTGTGCACACAAATAAAATGAAAAAATGAAAATTTAGTGTTGAAAATAATGGCTCTCCTCTCCTGCAAATAAAGAAACCACGTCTTTATACCCTAGCGCCAACACAGCTTTACTCTTTGCTGTTCGATTTCAGGTGAGTGCGTAAAAATCTGTTATGACAACTACTATTGACTATAAAAATTGAAAAAGGCCGGTCACCTCAAGGTCGTTATTTTCTATTACCAGTGTACAGATAAAATAATCTGATGCCGAAAGTCTGAGCGAAAAATGTTATTTATTAGGACCGCGTTTAGCAGAAAGGAGTCAAGCCACATCAGCTATTGCCAAATTTAATTGGGCAATCGAATTTTTTACATGAAAACAGTTGTGCAGAGTTTCGTGCGAATTTCAGTGATTTCCTCTATAGTACGAGGCAACTTCCTTATTTTCAAAGGAATCTGTACAAATTCTCTCACATAAAAAATTAAATTGTCCGGTTAAATGTGGCAATAGCTGATGTGGCTTGGTTTCTTTCTGTTAAACGCGGTCCATTTGTAATAAGGAGGATGAAACGTCCAAAGAACTCCCAGACGGAAGGTTT